AATGATGAGAATACTTGATGTTAGTTTTGAAAAAGTTCATATACTCGGTTGAAAAAAATAAATTTATAATTTGGTTTTAAGGATAACAAACACATCATTGGTTAATGAAAAATCAATAGAAGTACTTGATTAGCGAGTTTAGAAAAAGTCGGTAAACTCAAATAAAAAAAAATTAAATTTTATATACTCGATCGAAAAAAATGAAAGTTGATGCATTTACAATGTAACTATTCTTACCTTAAATCATCATAACCCAATAGTTTAAGGGTGATTCTTGTTATTAGACTGTTAGGCTAAGCTCTTTCATGGACATATGTCTCGAATTGGAGTAGAAAAACCATTAATTTTTTTAATACCCTCCATTTTTATTTGTTTTGCTCAATAGGTAAACAAATCAGGTTGATTTGGTCTATTTTTTTTCTTTTATTACAGATTTTTTCAATAGATCGACAAAGGAAAGAAAGACAAAAAAGATATAGAAAGAAAGAAAAATGTCATTTTGGGTTATTGTTTAGTTAGATACATATGAATTTGTTGTGAACTTGGGTTTTTTTTTTCATGTCAGGAATTACAGTTCATTATCTCAATTTTTTTTTCCTTCAAAATTTTTGCACAAGCCTTTTTTTTTCTTTTGTTTTTGCTTCTTTTGTTTTCATTAATTAATTCAAATCTTATTATTATGGATCGTCAAGCAAAAACTATGAAGGATCGATTGTTATTTTGAGGTTTCTCGAACAACCTAGAGATGAAAAATATATTTTTGTGTGTGTGTATTTATATTTTAAAATAAGCATATATTTCATATTATATTACTCTTATTATTTAAAAAATTATTTCTTTAATTTGTCATTTCATATGAACAAATATGAATTTTTTTATCTATGTATATATGGATTTTGAAATAAAATTTTAGAACAAGATTATTTTTTCCTTTTTGAAAAATATAAACGATATGATTCATAAGATGAATTCTTAAAATTTTTGAATCATAACTCTGCATGCAAAATCTATGCACGAGGACTAGCCATATATGTTCTAGAAACAAAAAAGATTCATGTGTTTTATTTGCTACTTCTTTACATGATCAAAATTTATCAAAATTAATTTTGTTATAGTTTTTATTTAATTTAGTATATTGACTTGAAATTTATTCAATATATTATTTACAAGTTAATTATGTTTTTTTATAATGTTTTTTGTTTTATGTTGCAAACTCCAAAACCAAATCAGCATAGTTATTATATTAAAAAAAATATTAAATTATTGGTTTTATTACAAATTAACATGCAACAACACAAACCATTTTTTTTAATTTATTTTTATGTAAGTTTTTATATCAATTGTTATTTTGTTTTGATAACACATTCTTATAAAAAAGTATAACAGTTTTTTTAATTTCATATTAAATTATCTTTTTTAATCACCACAAATTTTTAATTAATAATTCTTGGATAAAAAATAAATTATGTTTTTTTGGGTACAAAAATCATAAAAAACACGAGAAAGAATTAATTGAATATAAAATTTTGATCAAAAATTTATAAAATTGAATAAATTTATTTTATTTTTGATTTAATATATTTTAATGGACTCATGTTATAGCAATGAATCATTAAACTGAAATAATTTTTCTAATTATTTCATATGTTATGTCCGGCTTTTAGAGTTGCACGAATAAGAAACTACTAGCAAACTAAACAACATGAGACACGTATAAAAAAAAGTCAAATTAGAGATAGACGTATTTAATGCAGTTCCAGTTAGAGTAGATTTTATTACTAGAAAAAGTTCTTCCAGCAGCAATTTAAGGACTACAAGAATAAAATAACCTAATTCTATTCAAATATTTTACATTTGATTTGAATAATATCATAAAAACATGAATTATGATAAAAACTAAATAAATAGACTATCTGTGTAGTGCCTACCTTGGACTAGTTGAAAGATTAAATTTTAAGCAATTTATTTAGTGCAATTTTATGGTTTTCTATCTTCTGTTTTTAGCAATTTTTTTTTAATATTGCAAACAATGTATTAATGATGAATACTTATGAAACTGGATAACTATTTTTTTATTAATAAATTCATATTTAAAGCTATTTATTTATGATATTCTACATTCCCTGCATCTTATTTAAACTTGTTTCAGATTGTACGAAAAATCTCTGGCTGGGCAGAGGGTTTTTGGTAAAATGTTATTCAAATTTAAATAACACGTCTAAGGCGAGTATTAGAATGGGACTTTGATGCAGTTAATCTTAATAGATAAATATTTTTAAATCTTAATAAAGAATTATTTTTATTATTTAATGATATTTTTAGAGAAATTTTTTTGTTACACAATGAGGATTAAAACAATATTTATTTTATAGAAGATAGTAGATATAAAAAAAAATGAGAGAGAAATAAACAAAATAAGTTTAAATATAAATATTTTTTTTATCATTTTTATGAATTTGAATGTGATTTTTTTCTCGTCTGTCTCTCTTATGTGTGTATTTTTCTTCTCAAAATGAATTTATATAGTAAATATTATTATTTATTATATAAATATTTTAAAATTTCTCATATTTTCATGTCCGATGCTAAATTCTAATGTTGAATTTAATTAAAGACAAGTCATTTAATTGCAATAAAATATATATAAAAAATTTTACTTCTCATAAATTTACCCAAGATCTAAATTGCCCTTGGGCATCAACAATCAGCTATCCCATCAATTTATCTTAACAAATCTTATGCCATCAATGTACTCACCACATGAAATTGTCTAAAGTTCAAACTGAATGTGCCGAAAATAAGCAATTTAAAAAGAGGCATAAGATCAAAGGAATTTTTCAGGCTGATAATTGGAGAGGAAAATCTAACAGCCACGTTTATTCTGGGGTTGATGGCTGCTGAGATTTTGCTGATCTTTCTTTTATTCTTATCCCGTCTCTTTACTCCTTTTCATTTTAAGTTTATCTATTTATGTTTATTTTTTGGTCTTAGTTTCGTCTTTTGTTAACATTTAGACTAACAGTATTAATTTTTTTTTTAATCTTATCTCATTATTCTTTTTTTTTTTTGTCTTAGTCTTGTTTTTTTACCAAATTTAAATAAATAAATATTGGAAAATAAATTGAAAAAAGAAGATATATAAGGTCAATTTCTCTAAAAAAATGGAAAAAAGGTGTAGAGCTATAAAGATTTTTTTTATTTATCTAAAATATCTTTTATGGGTTTAAATTTACTTCTATGGTAGCAAGCAAAATTTAAGTATATAATAAAATATTTATAGTATTTTTTTCAAACGCGAAGAAAGTTTTATTTTAAATTTTAAATGATATTTATAATTTTATAATGCCTCAAAGAGTCCGTTGTAATTTATTTATTTTGATTTTATAAATTTTTCAATTTCACTCAAAATTGAGAATATAATTTTTTTTACAAATTTTAGTCAAATTAAGAAATTTATTAGTGTTTTTCCCAACACCAAATATATATATATATATATTCTCATTTTTTAGTCAAATTAAAAAATTTATAAAATTAAAATAAGTATACTATAATAGACTCGTTTGAAATATTATAAAATTATAAATATCATTAAAAATTTTAATTAAACTCTCTTTATATTTTAAAAAAAACTCTAAATATTTTATTTTTTATTCAAAATTTGCTTACTATCATGGAGACGAATTTAAGGCCATAAAGGATATTTTGGATAAAAAAATTTAGCTTCACTTTTTTTTTCAATTTTTTAGGTAGAATGACATGATATAAATTTATATTTTTCAATTTTTATTCTTTCTATAATTTATTTATTTAAATTTAGTAAAACAAAATTAAGTTAGAAAGATAAAAAAATATATAAAAAAACAAGTTAATACTATAATCTAATAGTTAATGGAGGGACAATATTAATATATAAACCAAACATAGAATGATGAATTTAAAATGAAAAAAAAAATAGAGATACGCGATAAAGATAAAATAAAAAGTAGAAAGACTTCTACAAAATTTCTTTTTCTTTTTCTTTTTTTTAAATTTTTTTGCTGACTTCTAATTATACCTGCATGCTTAAGCAAACGCGGCTTATGATAATGAAGACGTGCTGTAAGTTAAAGTAGTCAGTAAAGCGACTTGTCACTTGATATTGTAATTGGACATTAAAAAAAAGAAGGGAAAATAAAAAGAATATCCTTCATATTTCACAGATTTAATATATAGTATTTGAATTGCCATTTGTTTCACAAAGCTTGACCAAAACACATCAAGATGAAATGAATTGCCACCAAATTAACCGATGCCTCAAACAAGTGCTGAAAATAAATGGAAAAATATTTTTGACACAAAACAATGAATTGAATTCAACAAGTTTTCAATGGAGTTTCAATATTTGAGAAACTAATGATTAAAAGAGATTTGAAAGGTGATGATTTTGTTTGGAATTGTAAAAGCTTTCAAGATATGGATTATAAAATTCAATACACCATTAAGCATATGAGATTGGCATGTAAACTATACTTATTAAACAATGCAATTGGAATTAGTGTTATTTTTTGTAGAGGTCTCAAATTCGAACTTATTTATTTATTTATTTAAGAAAAAATATAAATATTTACTAAAAGTAACTTGAAAAATTATGATTTTATTTAGAATCGTAAAAGTTCTTAAGATAAAAATGATAAAATCTAATACACCGCTAACCATATATAGATTGACATATAAATTATACTCATTAAATATATTTGCATGTATCGTAAAAAAAAAAAAAAAAAAAAAACTTAACTAAATAGATATATAAATATCCAATACACATTCCAAATAACAACAATTTTTTTTAAACATAGATAAATAGACACCTATGGTAAGATAAAATAATTTTCGGGACTAACAGCATCTAAAGAAACAAATCCCGCAAAATATTGTAAGACATTAAATGCAAATGGGATTTCCTATAAACAAAACACCACACCACCCACGCTATCCTATCTAATTGTCTTGATCTTGAAGTCTTAATTTTTATTTGACCTTCTGGGGCTAAGATGATCTGCGCCTCGACGCAAAGGAACACAAGAGGGGCATCTAATCAGACCGTTGGCATTGCAACCAGTGCAGTCTTTAAACCCATGCTTGACAGTGTAGATCTTGTGGCTCCCACTGCACCGTCCGCAAAGAACAAATCTCAGCCCTCCACATGAATCGCAGGCATTGGTATTAGCCAGCGGTAATCCACCAATCAGCTTCTTCAAATCTCCACTCTCATGCAATTCCGTAATCTCCTTGACCCCACCAATATATTTTCCTCCAATGAAAACAATTGGTAAAGTAACTTTTTTCGACCCAACAATCTCCTGTAACTCGTCTAAATACATACCGTCCATGGATAAATCACGTTCGTCGATTGGGACACAAAATCCACGGAGGATTGATCTGACGGACCTACAATCCTCAAAAGTCCTGCGGACAATGCGGAGGCTAGTGAAGTACAGAATGATGTGTTGTGGATCATGGTGGTGCGGCAGTGATTTTGACTGTCTGATTGACGGGTGTACATTGCGGTGGGCCCATGTACGGAGGACCGAAGTAGAGATCCGGACCCGGTGGAAAAGGGAGGGCTTTCGGGGAGAAATGGGTTCGGGTTCTTCAATGATGAGAGTTTGGATATCTTTGAAAGAAGAGCAATGGAATCTTGGTGAAGGAGGTTGTGTTCTTGGGGAGGACGGAAATCTAGAGGGCGATCTTAACCAGTCCGGCCACATGAATGAAGGAGGGAATGAGAATGGTTTTAGGGAGTTGGGAGGAGGAGGCTAGTAAGGGAGTGTTTGGGTTTGGTTATTGAGAAAATGGAGATGGGATTATGTGTTATTGAAGACATGATTATATAAGTGCTTTCTTGAGGAATTAAGATAAATTTAATATGGTAGGTGCTTTAATGGCCTTTTGTTTCCACATTAAACTTGGAGTGAGCATTGGTAAATCCGCCGGTTTGATACAGTAATGGCAAGGATTATAAATATTTAACCAACACTTACTTTATTAGCATGAAAAATTACTACTACATTATAAACATGACATTTTTTTCTATGAAAGTCATACTCATCTATTTTCCTTTTCAATAATATATTTTGTTTTTCTACTTTTACCTTGGCAGAAACCTATTAATGAAGAAAAAAAGATGTCGAGATGCAATTAAATTGGATAACTATTGAAGGATTATCCTATTAGAAAAAAAAATATTGAAGTCGTCAAAGCACAAAAAAATCTAGTATAACTCCTATTTATTTTCTGCTATTTATTTTGGTTTGTTGTACTCCATATATGAGATTTTTTTGTTCTTGGATCGTATTGAATGTAGGTTCTCATTCGAAGATTTATATAGTAAATCGAAACATATGAGTGGATTTCATGTGATATATTTATTAGATTTGTCAAGAGAAGGAGGTTTCAACGCAATATTTTAATTTTTTTTCTATCAATGGAGTCTGGTAGTATGATCCTTCTCCCATTAATAAATGGTTGAAGTAGATTTTTGAGTTTGAGACACATAAAAATAAATCATATTGTGAATAGCTTGTAAAGAAAAAAACTCAAAAAACTCATTTGAAAGTTCATGAATTGGACAAAACGAAGTGTTACACAGAATGCCAATTGTTTTTGCATCAGTGGGCAAATCTTTTTTCATTTAATTAGAATCGATGATAATCATTGTCATCTTTATTTAAATCTTATGAAAATTATAATGGCTATGTACTATTTATAGTATCAATAGCATTACATTTTGAAAAGAAAAAAAACAAAAACGTAATTTTCATTCTTTTGACTCAAACAAAAGTAAATTACAAATTAGTTTTTTTATTTTTTTATTTTTTATAAATGAATTAAGTAATCTCTTTTGTTTTAAAAATTAATTATTTAATTCTTTAATCAGGGATGACCATACTAAATTTAATATTATTTTATTTGAAAAAATTTCATCAATCTTTCTATATTTTTTTAAATAAAAAATCAAAATAAATTTTAAAAAACCAGTTACGAGAAAATTTAAAATATAAGAATAGAGTAAGACCAACTAACTTTTTGTGCAAAATGAGTTTTTTTATTACCTATAACTAATCATCTGTCAATTATTTTTGGTGGGTACATATTAGTTTTAAATCGGAGATTCTAAGCCTTCCAAATTCTTAGAATCAGAAAAGCAAGAAGCGTGGAAAGTGGAATTCAAACCCGAACATTCTCATTAAAAGTTCAAGATTGTTATCACCAAGTCATTCTTCGAGTTTTTATTATTTTTTTATACGTGTTATGCTACAAGTTAGATAAAATATATAAAATTATTTTATTTTAATATCTCATATTATATTATGCATCTATCAAAATATATTAAATCAAAACGAAACAAAAATTTATTCAATTTTATAGTTTTTAATCAAAAATTTATATTTGACTAATTATTCTTTATATTTTTATAAATATTTTATTAAAAAATATTATTTATTTATTTTTATCCACGTTTTTAGTTAAAAACTTCTTTTGTAAATTATTTTTTTCTAAATATCTTTTTACCTTAAAATTTTTAATTAAGAAAATCAGAGAAAAAAAAAACAAGGATCAAAATGACTAAAATGAAACAAAAAAGAGGAACCAAAATAAAACTAAAAAAATTAAGAACCAAAAAAAATATTTTTTTCAAAAGAGACCAAAGTTTAATATCATGAAAACTTTCGTAATAGATATATTAAAACTTATAAAAATACTATTTGATAGTAAAACAAATAGTGTATATGAGTCAAGGTGAATAATGAAATGAGTTTGGATGAATACTATTTCAAATAATATAGTAAATAATAAATTATAATTTTACTTTAGTTTTTTTGTTAATAAAACATGAGTTTAAAATTAGTAAGTTGATTCTGAGGGCTTGATGGTAAGTTTCTTGAATATTAACTAGCAACACAATTTTATGTATACAAGATTTTCATGTAGTCACTTGATACGCTAATTTTTACATCCGACAAACTAAATTTGTTATATATAACTAATGACTTTATATAGATTAATCGTATATATAAAAAAAAATTAAAACTTTATTACACTTATCATATTTTATTTATTTATTTTGCAATTCACATTATTTTTGCCTTTAATTCTTACATTTTGATATCGAAGTAACTACTTTTTTTTTTTTTTAAATATGTGCCAAAAATGTCAACCCCTACAATGAAGACAGTATAAAAAAAGAAATTAAATTAATAGTCATCCATGTAACTACTTCTTGTGCGAAACAGTTACTCTCGGTGGGAAAACAAAGTAAAACCCAGACTGGGTTAGCTTTTTAAATGTCAACTTGTACTCCACGGCTGATGAGTCCATCAGCAATGAGCAAACGGTTCGGTTAATCGAAAATCGAATAAACTCGAATCGAATTATGAAATTTGATTCGATTTTAAATATAAAATTATGCAATATAAAACCAAACCGAAAAAAACTGAAATTATTTCGATTCGGTTCGGTTTTTTTTAAAAAAATTTCGGTTTCGACCAAAAACAGAAATAAAAAGTAAAAAATTTCCTAATTTCTAAATCCCTAACTTTTCAATCTTCATTCTTGTTGAAACTGAAACACGCAAATGGGAAGTAAATTTTGAGGACCGTTGGGGTAAGAAAAGAAAGTGACGAGTATAATTAATTGGGATACAATGTGTTTAAATGAGCAAATTTATTACACTTGGACTCGTTTTCGGTAACGCTTTGTGATTGTTTATAAAAAGGATTAATTGATAACAAGATGTTACTTCATTGGCTAGTGGACTAAGTGCTAGTACAAAACATCTCTCTATAATTTTTTTTTTTACATCAAAATATTTTGGTTAAAATCGAAATATTTTAAAACTAAACCGAAATAATTCGGTTACAAACCGAATTTATTTCGATTCAATTTTGATTTTTATTTTTTTTAATTCGATTAATAAAAAATCGAACCGAATCGTATAAAACCGAACCATTTAACCGAATGCTCACCTCTAAGTCCATAGACTCGGTTGGGCAATTGGAAACTTGCATGCTTACCATATTAAGGCTCAAAAAACATGTGCGGAGACACCTCAGAAATGGTTATTCATGTCACAAGGTCACTATGCTTTCTGGCCGCTATTTCCCATATTTGCTCTGCCTCACCTACCATAACGTTCTTACAATTAATCCACTGAACCCCACCAATCCTAGAGGTTTTTTTTTTTCCTAAATAGGATATTTTTTAATCTATTTTTTTTAAAATAAGATGATTTAAATTTTATTTACCAAAAGAGTAGTTTTACCATGTTACCTTTTTAGTTGGGTGGTTATTATATGAAATTTAAATTAATAATTAAAAAAAATAGAAGCAGAAAAAGGAAAAAAAAAACTGAGGTTGTTTCTTAAAATCCAAAAACTCTTACAACTCTAAATCATAATTATTAGAAAAAAATTTTAACACATGAATATTATCAATTAAGATGTTTTTTGTTTTCATTTATTTAATTTTAATAAATTATGAACCGACAATATACTCATTATCAATACACAATGAATATATTGCTTGTTCATAATTTGATTGGTATGTAGTTAGCAAGATTTTGTTTTCCTCTTTGGTCCAATTTTATTAGAAGAGAATCATATTCATACACAAACCTCTTATGCATAAACCATTACAAGATTTAAGCCAATAAACATTGTTCCAGTTCAAAAGTTGAGTCTCCTTAACTTGATTAGTTGTATTCTATAAAAATCTTATTCTATGCTTTTCAATCTCTACATATATAGGTGCTTGTCGGAAAATTTTCTATTCAATAATTACACTTTAGGCTAGTGTATTTCTACTTGCTAAAGATCAAGTTTGTGATTTTCCTCCATTGACGTTAACTAGATTGTTGACATGGCCCATGATATATTTGAGTTGAACACTTAAAGCTGCCCTATGTGTCGGGTTACATGAATTTTTGCCTCATATAATATTGATCTTATGTTTTTGGATTAATTATATGGTATATGTGTTTCTTGATTGTCATGAGTAGGCTTTTAAAATCAATTCAATTGTTTGGTTGTCAAGTGTTGAAGATATAATCTTAATCTGAATTCTTCCAACAATAAATTCGAACCATGAAAAAGTAGTGGAATTCTTCCAACAATTCCTAGAGCTGCAACAATGATGCCCAAAGGAGAATGAGAAAATCCTATCGAGCACAACAATTAATTATATATTGAACATTGAGCACATCTCTAAATGTAAAATTTCCAACTGTGCAGTTTGCACTTGAATAAAAAGAGATGCAGAAATATGCTACACACTAGTTGTTAATACCATTTACATTATCCAATGCCTTTTAAGTGCTTTATGAATAAATTTCATGTCATAAAAACCTTGACACATTTCTCTCTCGTGGGAATATTTACTTCCATCATAAATACCACATCAATTAGCAACATGGAAGAATTAATGGTAATTGTGGAATTGTATTAAAAGCCTTCTCTCCTCATTCCTCGTTGTTTTTCCATACGATCTGGGCAAGCTATGAAGAGCTAATTTTCAGATGCATGAACTTAAAACACATTTGCCTGACAACATTGTATTCAAAGATAAGTAAGTGAATATAATTTTGAATTTCTCAGTATTACCATTGTAATCCCCTCCATCTTCTAGTAATATTAACAAATACAATTAAGCCTTCCTTTACACTCTCGTCTGTCTTCACATGCACATATCCAATACCAACTCTCTCAGTCCATGTCTTTAAAGACGCTTCCTTTTGCTTTGCTGACAGTCAAATTAAATTGCTAGGCATTTCTTCTATTTGTACATATACTTGAAATTTGATCATAAACTACCTTTCTTTCTATTTCAAATTGTACTCAACTAAATCTATTTCAAATAATCACTAAAACAATCAATTCCTACCTTAAACACTAATTTAACACTAAAGCAATCTAATTATGGAAAATACCAACAACCCATTTAACCTTATTCATTCAATTACTAAATAAACACTAATCATTCATAATCATATAACTGATAAGACTAAATTAATTCCACTACAAACACAAGCCCATAGTAAATAAACAATTCAACACTAAAATAACTTAATCACAAACAAAATCTACATGTAATTAACATTAATTTAATCAATTCCATAATAGAAAACTTGAGCCAAAGCAAGTACATATCAGAATCAATTAATTACAAAAACAACTATCTGGTGACGACAATCAATAACTAAGTTTGTCGATTTTTTAATTTCCCTTCGAAATTCTAAGCAGAGAAACTTCCACAGGATGACTTTTCATTCAAATATGATAATTTACTTAAGTGATAAAAAGATAGAGTTGCAATCAGTCTACGTCATCTACGAAACAATAATTTTATTGTAAATTTTAAATTGAAGCGAAATTAGAAGGATAAATACACAAAAAGACGATGACATACCGTGGATATTGAAACTCTTTCAATGGATGACTGTCAATAACTGGAGTGGAATTCCAACAACCAGAATTGAGGTCATTAAAGTTGAAGTTTCCAATAGGAGGATGAACATAGAATGTGATGAGCCGTGGGAAGATAGAGAGAAGAAAAGCAAAAGGAAGGAAAAAAAAGCATAGATTGATACATAGAGTAGTTAGAATGGGTTGGTACAAAGAGAAAGAAGTAAAATTAGGAAATTAATTTGTGATGGTAAAATATTTTTTTTAGCAAAATAATTTCTTCTTTGTATTTTAAATAAAAACTGACATGTTAATATATACAAATGAGATGACTTCTACCTGGCGCTTAGTATTTTATTTTGATAATTAAATTTAAAACTATCATATTGTAAAAAATAAGATTTAAATGGCTTATTATGAAAAAAAAAAATCCTAATCCCAAGTAATAAAAAGACCTTTGGGCTTCAACCTTATCCAAGACATTTGATCAAAAGAAAACCCCTGTCCACGACCCATAAAGAAGGGGGAAAAAAAAACCCTGCTTTTGATATGAACTATGGAGGCTATTGCCAAAGATACAATGGGCATAGGCGATGTTGGATTGGGTTTGGTTTCTAGGCTTTGGGCCCTTCTTTTACCAAATAATAATGATAATAATAATAATAATTCCATCCCATAAATCATTATTAACGAATGTCATTTTTTTTTAAAAAAGGTTTTACATGTTTGTTATTAGTAAATTATAAATTAGTCTGTCTTGTTCTGAAAATAATAATAATAATAATAATTAGTCCATTTTATTTTATGAATTAATTATTTAGTCCTTTATATTTTAATTCTTTCAATAATTTAATCTTTCATCGGTTTTTCATTATATTAGAGATGAGGTGTACTACGGAAGTATTTTTATTTTCAAATTGGTTTTTTTATTTTTATTGTCTTATTTTTTTAGTCACCCTTTCTCTTTCTCTCTCCCTAACCATCAATTGATTGAAAAAATTGAGAAAGAATTCACCAAGATAATTGAGGAGAGATAAAGAAAGTGATGAAAAAAATAAATAAAGTATATATATAAAAAAGAACAATTTAAAATTAAGTTATTGATGAAATTTAAATACAGAGAACCAAATGATTAGTTTTTAAAATGAGAAATACTAATTGATTCATTTCTCTAGAGAGACTAATTTATAATTTACTCTTATTTACACCCATGTAATCTGCTCATGAATCATCCATACATGGCAACTGAAGCTGTAACAGCGAAATGTCTCGTGTGCTGTATATGTTTTCCTGGCTTTAACTAATTTCATTACAACCTAGACATATCCGAAAATTAGATATTGCACCCTAGCCATGTTTTGAGAAAACCTATTCATGAATAAAAAGATGAAGGTTTCTCCAATAAATAAACAAAACAAATTACTGATATAAAGTTATAAATGGCACATTTAGCATGTTGAATTATCGAACCAGGTCCTGCTGACTGATTTGTCGTGAGGAATGATCATACCAAACCAACGAGAAACCTGTAATTATAAAGTCCATTTTGCCAACCGGAATTGGCTGTGCTTCCAGATAACGAAAATCATGAGAAAAGCTCGTGGGTGATTTTAAATTTTAATATCAGCTACTAATTCCACAAACACCTTAGCCTTCTTTTGGTGTTCTTGCTTCACAACAATGTTCTTTATTATAATTTCAAGTTAACTGGCCAAAGACAGATTATCGAAAAGAACAAGTAATTTTGGTTCTGTGGAGTCTTTCTAAAATTGTCTTAAATCTATGTGGGCATGGAAGAAATATAGTTTTTTTTATCTATTGTCAGGAAAAAGAGAGTAGGGATTAGGAAACCCCTTATCCTTATCACCAATCACATTCAGAAGAATAAACTATTGGAAAGAAACAAGAATACGACATGTCTATAATGCAAGAAAGACAAGTGAAATAATTCTAATTACACCAGGACAAAGGGCATTATATTAGTCTAGAACAGCTAATACTAAAAATTTCCTGAGAAGAGAGGGCATTCCTTTGCTATTTTTAATATCTTACCACTTGGCGAATCTCGAAGGTAATTTAAACTCCTGTTTTTCCAATAAACTAATAAGCTGCGTAATACAAACACTGTGTTATTTGTAAAACCATCATCCTAAAAATGTCCCAAGAGAAAAAAAAAAAAAAGTACACATTGAAGATCATTAAAAAAAGAATAATATAGATGCTGACCTATCTAATGCATCTTTGCTCCTTTAGAGATGAAAATATCCCCATATGGCACCTTTTGTTCAACTCTTAGGAAATCACGTGATGTAAGAACTGTATACAATTTAGTCAGACATCCAAGTTTCAATTAGATTAGCTCCGGAAAAAAAAAAAAATTCATAGTTTCAATTAGTTGAAATTATTTCAAGCTAGCATTTGATTTTAAAAATTGAAGTAAAGAATAACTACTGTGGTTGGCATGAGAAAGAATATACCACAAGTTTGATAAAACAGCAAAGCTGCTGCTTTTGTGTTCATTCCAGCAGCTAGATTGTTCAGGGATTCTACTTGAGGGGCTCCCGGCGTTTCAAAATGTGTTTTCATTTGCCTGTGCACATTTAAGTATGATTAATGATTTTAATAACCGTATGACAAACGCAAGGACAAAACAAATTCAACAAAAGGTCTGATAAGAGCAATACATTCGGATAGAATCAGCTATCTTGTCAACAGGCTGACCTGCGATCAGTTGTTGGCTTTGTGTAGGTCCAGTTTCAACCAACAGTTCTGTGGAAAATTTAATAGGGTACCGAGGATGTAGGTTTTCTGACTGGAAAAGGTAGAACCAAATAGCCAAAGCACTGCAACCAAAGACGTGAATTGCCATGCCATTTACCTTGATCAGGTGTCGGGCCACTCTCAGACAGTCTCGATAACTCAAAATTTGGATCAGCAAACTGCCATGGATCCTCTTCAGCTACTCTCTCAAGACTACTGCCACTGTGTCTTGATGATGAATGAGGCCCTTTCTTATTCGATCTGTTGATAAACAGTACAAAAATCCCCAATATATCATTTCACTTTTATTTGAAAAGCATAACGAGTCTTAACTCTTAAAAGCCAACTCAATGGTTATCCCAATGAAACATTCACTAACCGTCCTAAATTGAAGTCCAAATTATGCAGTGGAATTCCAATTCGTGATCCAGAGCTTGAAATGAATCTCACTGCATCTCCTGTAATTCAGATCAAGCAAAAAACTCGGAGAAGTGTAATCATAACCATACCTCAAGAATCTCTAGACAAGTTAAACATATGAAGCAGGGTAGACACGTGCAACATACCAGAATTCCTAGGTGTCGCCAAATTGGCTTCGGTCATCCTCACACCATTGTTCCTAAGGTTCGCTTTGAGTTCTTCCATGAGGATATCCATCGATGTCTCATCGTTCACAACATTTGTTCTCAGCTTCTCTATTGAAGTACCCAGTGATTGAGAGCCAACTCCACTATGAAGATCATCAAAGGTCTACACATCCAAACAGTCAAAACAGAGACGCTATACTGTTTCAACTTGAAAAAAAAAGAAAAGAAAGAAACTAAACCCCTGCTGCTGCCACTTACATCTCCCACTGGATCTTGATAATGTACTCTATCTGGTGGCGATGATATTGATGGTTTTGGTGGCAGTGGTACAGAAGTCCTTTCTGCTTACAGAAGTACAGTATGAATTTCTCACCATTGTCTTCTTAAGAGAACAATCCTACAAGTTACAGTGTTCAAATCTCACCAGAAGGGGCGTCATGAAGAGGTTGGGTACTTCTGGTCCAAAGTTCCAGAAGTGGAGCTGGATAGTAGATTTCTCTATTTGCATTTGAAGATAAATTATCAATAAGAACAGTAGGTGGTAGCTCCATGAGGTTAGATATCTTCATTGTAGACATAATATCCATGTGTGCCTGCAAAAACATGCAGTATAAGAAACTTATGGATAACACATCAAGATAGTATCGTTCCTTCCCTTTTGCTCTCCTTTTCTTAAGGGTAACAATATGCAAGAATTTTTTAAATTTGATTATTACAAATATCATAGAGCTCGCATGCATGCATTAAAATTAGCATATTCTTACACTATCCAACTTCTCCTCCCATGTAACATGGCAAGTCAAAGAGTTTTCCTTAAACAAGCATAGTACTTAACTTTCATCTAAATGTGAACCATGTTAGAAATCAAGACCTAACCTTCCTCTTTCTTCCTCTTCTTAAGACAATATCAGAAGTATTTTGAAGCCATGACTGGTATACATGCCCAGGAATTATCGTTTGTTCATAATCCATGGTAGTAGTTGCTTGTTGTCTTGTTTTCCTTTTACATGGCCTTTGATTCTGCTGATCCTGTTTCATCCACACTTTCAATGTTTGTTATGCTTCTATTGTTCTTTTATTACCATTTCATACGATCAGTCCAGGAGATGCATTATTAATTTACTTACCTGTCTGGCTACTTTGCATTCATTAAACTGTTGATCGACTTGGTTTTCTGGACGATGGTCTTGGTTTTCATCAGCTGCAGGAAGACCTGGATATTAAATGTGTACCCGGCTTGATAATTTCTTTGGTGAACGCTTTTTATCAGTATAAGTAGTCATCAACATTTGGAGTTCATCAGTTAAGGACAGGAACTATGAAGTTTATGAACTTTTACGCATTAAATTGCTATAGAATTACAAATAAATGATGTTAATGGAGTTAATCATGTAACTAGTTGACTTACATTAGATAGGATCTCAGTGGAAGCAGGAGCCATGCACGTAAATCAAGAATAATGTACAAATGTGTAACAGTATGTTACATTTAGTGGCGCATCCACGAAAAGGACCAAGGCATTCTCTCAAATGAAGGACAATTTAAAAAGAAGATAACAGTATAGCATCGTAATAAATAATAACTTTAATTAATCAGGCATTTGATGGTAGACTATGCAGCACGTCAACTCTCATATCTGAATAATTCAGGTGTTTAATGATGGGCTTCTACCAGCAAATAACCAAGTCATACGTACATACAGGCTTATGAATATCTACCTCTCTCTGGAGTAGATTTAGATTTCTTTGTTTAGGTATGATATTTGTGGGTTAATGAAGAGATCATCAAGACAGTTACAAACTTCGTAAAGAAATTTATTTGGTCAAAAACTGTAAAACATAAAATAAAAGAGGTGCTGTATATTTCATTTCCATTCAGTTCACAAGTGTCATTCAAGAGCATCCTCTTGTTTCTATCAGTTTTGTGTTTTCCTATGATTTGCATATTGATTCCATTGGCACGAGATTGAAACGGTGAACTCAGCTGAATCCTATCCTCACCAAACATATTGCGTCTCTAAGCTAGAAAACCGAAGCAAGCAACACAAACAGGAAATGATGTATGGATTACTTATAACCAGGTTCTCTCATTGAAGTCGTAGAAGGAAAAGAGATGGTAAAAAGAAGAAAGGGGGAAAACGGTTCTATTTAGTGCGCCACACATCTCAATTCAAAGTGCTAATTGCATAACCTTCTGTTGGAACCTATAGATGTCAAAGTACAAAGGTCAATCAAGGTTAAAGTAAATTCTATATCAACTTCAAAATCCTTCAATAACATTATTAACTACACAAAAAACGAGCAGCAGTTGTCTTGCATGCATTTTATATTGCTGACCTCTTTGAGCTTCATCTTGTCGGGGTGGGGAGGGTATAAGAGTTGTTGGGATCTCCATATGATCTACTGAAGTGAAGTTCACTTGTGTCTCTTCATCCCCTTCAATATCAAATCTGCCACGCCATCCTCAAAGATCAGCATACGAGAATATAATGAAAACCCAAGAAGATTAAAGTATTGGGAAATCCCTCGTCAATTACAAGCTGAGAATTTTAACTTCTATGCATACAATTTTACTAGTCTGAACCACATTATGCACAGCAGCGGAAAAGCCCTATATGAAAAGCATAAACTAATTATGCAAATCAAAACCAAAATTGCTTCATGACTGGATCACCTTTCAAAGTGATTGTACTTATCAGCATCAGCCTGATATGAATCAAAACGTTCAAATAAGGTGATGTTGTCGGCATCAGCTGAAATTGCATGTCGGGTTAGCTCAAGGGAACAATATCAGCATGCTAGGAAACTCATAAATAAAAACTAGGATGGAGAAGAAGGCAAGAAATAAATGGAAACCTTGATGTAAGAGGTTGGGTGCATCTTCCTCCCGGGTATCATTGTTAACATACGGCTCATCCACATTGTCAAGCCGCTGAACAACAGAGAGAGATCATTCAAAGATCAGCAGCATACTGAGCCGGTATTATCTTAAGAATTTTTTTCCAGTGAGAGCTTGTAGTTCTATTATCATTGAATAATATGCTTTAATTCCTTAATAAATCACATGCAATGATCTAAGTTAGATCATGCATAATTGTAAATTCGACAGCAATTTAAAGCTAAATGTAGGATTAGAAATTCCACATTTGACATGCAAGCTAGTGCAGCACCATAAGAGCTGTGTAATAACTTCCATGTCAAGAATAAATAGAAGTAGAATCAAATGATTACTAATTGCTTAGCATCCACAACAATATGCGTATGCAGTACATGCATAAGGCATCTGAAGCACAAACCATAACTGTAATCCAATGGCTTAGACAACGGACTAAGAACATATGTTACCCCTCGCGTGAAAGCTAAGGCAACTGATTCGAATTTGCGTGGGTTAAAAGGCCCTCGAGGCCTAACGCTAAATTGGGTACATTTATCAAACAGCGTCCTATCAAACAAAATAAATTCACCCTTTGCTCAGACACAATAAAATCTACCAGATGGATAGTCCACAAGTTTTTGCGCACCTATTTGCCACTATGCAAACACAATGTAGTTGATGACAAAAAATGCCCTAGATAAAACTTCATATAACTCGTTGGTATAAATAGTGTTAATGAATAATTCTGGAAATGTTTGTATGCCGTTTTAAGACCTTATAGAAACTTGATTAAATAATTTACCATCCTATAAAATAAGAAGAATAAAATAAACAAACAATTTACCATGGTGAAATAGGCTGTTTGTTGAAACCCCATGGTGGTGGCTGCAGCATTGTAGTAAGTATGGGATTGCTCAATCTCTCCCACATCAGTTCCTTGGTTCTCTGGTAAAGTCACTTCCTCTTTCCTTCAATCGTAGTCACATATCACCAAGTAACCAAAACAGAAGCCATGTAATTTGACTTTACTACCCTTTGCCTTAGCACCCTAACCCACTTTCAAAACTCATTTACTATCGTTATTACTGGGAGTTGTGAACCGTCACTGGAACTACAATGCGCGGTGCTCATCCAGTAAATACGAAGAGTAAACTATAAATTTAGTCTTTTTAGTTCTGAGAAATAAATTAATTATTGCCTTTTTAAAAAAAATAATTATTTAGTTTTTATATTTTAATTTAATCCTTTTGGCTTTGTCATTTTTTTTTAAATAGAAAAAGAAAACAAATAAGTAAAAATATTAAATAAAACATGGTCAAAGCTGGTAAAATGCTTAACCAATTAGTTTTTGAAACCAAAATAATTAATTTTTTTTTCTGAAAAATAGAGGGTCTAATTTATAATTTACTCTAAATATGAATATGAAAGAACTCGTCGTATGAAGTGAAAAAAATGTGCAAGATTTTATCTACGCTAAAATATGCCACTCCACGCAAACTTGTACTAAAATACGCTGATTTTGAAAATTTAGAGTTTAGACAAGAATTCACAGCGACGGACCTGGCCTGTGATTTTCCCTTAGGAAGGACGGTGGGGTCTGGGGCTGCTTTCACTTTCCATGCTTCGTTTATATCAACCTGACAAAAACCAAATCAAGAAATCAAAGACTCATCGTCAATAAGCGTCTATTAGTATAAGGAAATTGAAAAGGAAAAACAAGAGGGGATTCAGATTGCGTTTGTGTGTTAATTATTGTAAGTTTTAATTGCAAGTACCAGTAGGCGGGTTACATCATCTGTGAAGAAAACCAGAGCAGAAAATTATCAATTAGATTTTGAAAACTGGAATTGAAATTCAAATACTGGTCAATAAAAGAATCAAAGGATTCACCATAGAGAAGCTTCACTTTTCGTTCATAGACAATAACAACTCCACCTGAGAGAAAAAGGTCAAAAAGGAAAAAAAAAAAAAAAAAAACAGAGAAATGCCTCTGTTATTAACTTATACTTTTATTAAAAACAGATACGTCTATTGAATTTAAAAAAAAAAAACTATTATACGAGAGAGACGACAATTACCCATGAGAATTCCAGAGAGCCTAAGAGCCATAGGCACTGAAGGATTCAAAATCTCTTCACTGTAGAAACAGTCGATTATGAGAAGAAAAATCAAGTCCATCAAATCGGTTTGAGCAAATTTGATAAAAAAAAAAAAAATAGAAATAGTTTAAAAGTAATAACCAAATATGGATGATGTTGAGCTTATTGAGCTTCTTTCGGTTGATCTTCGCATGCATGGTTGCAGCCATCCTTCATCAAACAGAAGGAACGCAGAATATCATATAAATCCACTTTAGTTAACGAAAACAGAGGATATCGAAAAAACACACTTCAAATTTGCGAAAAGTGACCAGAATATGATCACTAGATTTAAAAACAAACCGAAAATCCTTTCAATATAATTAATCTATATTCACAAAAGAAGAAGAATCAAACAGCCTCTATTTTTCAAAAAGAACACCGTAATTATGTAAAAAAAAAAAAAAAGGATGGATAATAAACAACAAAAGAGCTTTCCTGAATCTCATAATTACAGATCACTTCAAAAACATAAACGGAGACAATGCAGAGAACAAAATAGAACCAAAATGTAATAATAAAACAGCTAAGCATGCAGCTTATAGATTAAAAAAGAACTGAAGAAAAAATCACCATATCTGGCCAAGAGGTGCTTTGCGAGCTAGAAGCTGGTGTGAGTAAAACATTTTTTATCGTCACTGAGAAATTCTACGAGAAGAACAGAGAAGTTTAAGAGAGGCTGGTATCAAAGAGAAAATAAGAGAGGATCAGAGGTATCGATAATGGCGTTTTCAATAAGAAGCTTAGCCGTTTTGAAGAGAGTGAGGGAGAGAGAGCTAACTGTGAAAGAAAGAGGTAATTTTGTTGTGCTCTCTCTCTCTCTCTCTCTCTCTAAAACGGACTGGCACATACCCGCCCTGGCAGCAGAGTGGTTTTTTTGCGGAGAGGGAAGAAGAGTACGATGGAATGTTCATTAAGATAAAATTACATGTCAGTTAAGAAAGTTTTGGTGCTTTTCGTAATTTAAAACAAATAATATGTTAACACGTGGTATTTTTGGACCCTGTTTGTCACCGGCTAGTTGAAACCGAAAGGCTCTCTATAACGACTTGGGGTTTGTTGTTTATAAATTTGGCCGTGGGCCCCAAAGGATCAGCTTGGTTTGCACACTCCTTTTGCTCGGTATTTTGTCAGGTGGGGGGAAGGGAGTGCGGTTAAAAATGAAAACAATCCCGGATCCAAGTGGATTGAGCCGATCCAATTCGATTGGTTCACCATGGAGGCTGAACGATCATTCCATGGGAAGAGAATGTTTAATTAGTAAAAAGAGTTATCAACTTTTGAAATATTGGATTTACCAATTATAAACTATGCCATAAAAATTCTCATAACTTTTTTTTTTTGCTTTTTTTAGTATGAAAAATAGTAATTTATTAAATATCAAAATATGCACCAATACATTACTATTTTTACATTACATTTATATATAAAATACAACAACTGTTGGAACAAAATCCAGTTATTTGAATCAGAGCTTGACAGTAACACAAATATTGAAAAATCTTCCAAATGGCAATTAGCCCTTTTATGGAGTTCAACGATTTGATCTACAAACTAAACTCTTTAAAATTCTTATTATTTGACTGCTTTTACAAGAATTTGTAGAATCGAATGCTCGCATATGAGTTTAAACCATCATAAATCAATGAGAAAACAAACTATATTATCAAACTTCATCCATATCCACAAGCAAATATCAAAATCTTTTAACCCAGCTGATCCAACACACTAGACCCTTCTTCAAAAAGGAGGAAACCCCAACATGCAAGGTAGCATGCTCCCATGAAAAGAGAGAACAAACCCTCAACTAGAAGTGATCATTATTCGGTCTAGAAGTGACTACTATTCAATTTAAACTGAAAAATCGAAATAAATCAAAATATTAATTTTGATTCAATTTTTAAATTAAATTTTCTTAAAAAAAATAATATATTTTTTTAGTTTGGTTCAAAAAAATTTTGTTCGGTTTAAACTAAAAACTGAATTTAATTTTTTTTTGAAGTTTTAAAATAATGCAATAAATTAAAAAAATTAATACCTTGATCTTATTATATATGGTAGATTGATAATGTTTTTGGTCTATTTACATTATTTTATAAAAAATGGAAAAAAAAATTGGTTTAAACCTAGAAAACCAAAATTTTAGTTTTTAAACTGAAAAATCGAATAGTAATTTGGGTCGACTTTGGTTTTAGTTTTTTGTAGGTCAGTAAAACTAAAAATCAAATCAAAATTATTAAAAATCAAATGATCACTCCTACCACTAATAGAAAAAAAAAACAAAGAATAAAAATATAAATCTAGAAAAAAATATAAATCCACTTATCAATATATAAAAAAATTAAAATAAATAATATATTAGATTTTTATTAAAGGAGATCTAGAGCAATAAATTATAGATCTAAAAAACAAAACAAATACGCTAAATGAAAAAGTTGGGGCTAACCTTGGCCAAAATTGACCAGCAGCAGCCCAATGTTATTATTATTATTATTATTTTTCTAACTCATCTCACTAGAAATTAGAACAGGTTAGCAATTAAAAACCTAATTTAACAGGTAAAATTGATGGACAATTATCATAAAACATAGAATTAAAGGATCAAAATTGTATGATGTGTTATATATTATGTTTAAACTCCATTCTAGTTGTCGTTTCACAATTTTATAATGTGTTTACACGTTTAAATTTTACTATATATATATATATATATAATGTAAATTTTAGGTATATATGCTTAAAATCCAGCCTATAAATATTCTTAACATAATCCATGAAGAAATAAATTTATAAAAAAAATTGAAGTAAAAAAGAATTAATTAGGAAAAATATTGATTAGAAAAAGATTGAAATTATATAGAAAAATGACTATTGTGAAACTAAAAAAAAAAAACCTTGCTTTTCTTGTTTTATTTTTCCTATTTAACTACAAACTCATACATATAGAGAGAGATTGTTTGTTTGTTTGTTTATTTATTATTATTATTATTATTTTGCACAATTGCTAAAGACAACAATTAGAGAGAAAAGAAAAAGAAAAAACCGAAGAAATGCAGTGTTTAATATGATAATCTCACACAGTATTTTAGGTAACTAGTAAAATTAAGGACAATTATTATAGATGAGCAGAGAATTAAATGATGAAAATTGTATGGTTTTGTTATATATCATGTTTAAACTCTACTCCAGTGGTCGTTTAACAATTTTATATTGTGTTTACACCTATAAACTTTATAAAACCATAGTTGATTTTGAGGAAGTTCTCATCATTGCAAAAAAAAATTATTGAAAGTATAAAAACGTGCTCCGTAGCAGCAGAATTAAATTGCAAAGGTTACCCCTAAATTGCCAGTTTCAAGACCAGATTAGCCATTTTAATTGTTTTCACAAACGTTTTTTGACAATTTGTGCTTGCAAGCTTCAAAAAAAAAAAAAATCATGATTTTGTAAGCGTTCGAGCTTATTAGAAAAGGCTTAATCCTAACTGCCTGAAGTTATTAACAAGGTTCATTAGATAGTAGGATGAAACGAAATGAGCAGGCCGCCCTGGCCAAGGCCACCGCCACCCTCGGCTTCCAATGTTGAAAATCACCCCCGCTAAGAAATATGATATCATCGGATCTTTTCTCTTCAAGGAATTTCAATCTTGTCCCTAAAAAATAACATTTATTCCCTTTTTCAGTAAAAAAAAGAAAAGAAAATTATTTGCATGTTTAACTTCCAAGGGTAGAAATTTTCGTCCATCCCCTTGTAAAGTGCTAAATGTAACCTCTTTAAAAAAAAAAAACTTTAGACTCTAAAAAGAATTTTTATTTACTTTCGTCCTTAAAAGTTGTTTCTTTAACACGTTATAATGTTTATCTATAATTTTGATAAAAAAAAAAAAAAGTTTAAAGAAGCGAAACTATTGACTACGACATTAAACATTTGGAAAACAAAGACCTGACCCCTGCTTAAATCAGTTTTAAGAGACAATATAAATGAAAGTCTTAATTATAGTATTTTGTAACGGGATTGAGTAGGCTCCACACCCAGCTTCCTTGAACTATTGTTGAGGTTCGGCTCTTGGACTGCAAGGCCCAAACCCAACCTGACCGTTTCTCTCGATCGCAACTTATAAATTGGTTAGTACTCAAGTCTCTACATTCAGCAAGCACTCCTTACTCCTTGGACTGCTTTCTAGGCTCTCCTTTAGGTAAAGTTACACTTTTTGGGCTCGATGCCTTACCTTTTCACGTCCCAGTTTCGTTAATCTCTTAGAACAATTGTATAATCACTACACTGAATTGATGCAATCAGCCCGACTAATATCAACGAATCAAATTCATCCACTTGCACAAGGGCGAATTGGATTTGCCAATCATGCGTACTTTTGTCCATTATCATGTTATTATTCGAGTAATCTGTATCAATGCATAATAATATTCAATAAAATGAAAATTTGATGCCATTATTTGTTAAACCAGTAATGTTATTTGATTAGTAAAAAAGGAGGAGGAGAAGGGTAGATATATGACATGAAAATTGTCAGGTATTGTTTTGCAATCAAATTTTGATGTAACAGGTATTAAATCGATAGAATCCACCACTAACTCCTATATCGATCGATCATTTGATTTGATAATTTATAGCTTTTTTCGTGAAATGAAATTACTTTCGTTAGATTCAATTTATTTTTTTAACATACCGTGAACAATACTGATGTTCTTAATTATGACACCATCTTAGTTTATGTAGAATTATTAATCAACTTGTAACTCAATCGATGCACCATATTCATTTTAAATAAATTTTAAACTACATTCTCTCTTTAAAAAAACAAAAAAACAAAAGAAGGAAAGAAAACACTATGCCACTGTTTACTATCGAAAGTAGCACTAGTCGATGTGTACTTGAGCATATTAATGCATGAGTCTTGTATTCGAATCATCCCCTTGGATTGCCACATGAAAACTATGCATAAGTGGCACCAGCAACGGACTTCGGAAGTAAAGGCCAAACGCATCGAGATCATCCAAGACGCGCATGCGTTGATTGGCCGTCCCGTGAAGCGGGAAATAGAGGGGTGGTTTAAAGCTAATCGGCAACCTCCTGTTACTTCTCGGTGATACAGCTAATAAAACCTATACATAATATTTTTAAGGCTTAATAAATAAAAAAGAAAATACGAATTTTATAGCTTGTTTTTTCGATTTTGAATATAAAAATGATGAATTAAACTTATGATAATCATATTAGCATAATGAATTAAGCTTTTGTTATTAGAAACTTAATTTATAATTTTTCTGTTTAAAATTGAAAAAATTAAAACAACTAACTAACATAATTAAAAAATATAAAATTCGTAATTTTTTAATATTTTAAACCAACTTTTAATATCCAACTTAGTGACTTTTTTTGTATAATAGCCAAAATTTAGCATAGCGTTAAGAGGTTGTGTTTTAGTAATTCATTTGATTATTTGAAAAATATATTCAATTACTATTATTAATAATAGCTAAAAATATCCTACGTATGCAATTATTTTAAATTCTTGAATGATTGAGGATCTAAAAATTTAAATAGAGAAATACATTTTAAATGCATTAATAATAAAGTTTAATTATGAGAAGCAGAATTTAAAATAAAACTAGTTAAGGGAAGATATTTATATGAAGATTCTATTTCCTTTTCAACTAAAAATTTGACACAAACCTAGGTTAAAATTTTAATTTAAAGATCCAAATAAAAAAGAAATGACAAACAAATAATTCTTTTTTCTATCTTATATGTAAGATAATAAAAAAAGTACGCAGTAAACTTTAGGTCTTGATTTATAAATTCAACGAGATTGAATCGGAAAACACATCAATCTTGTGATAAAAAAAAAAAAAAAAAAATCAACATTTGCAGGTAAACATGGATGTATTTGTTAAAAGAATTGAAAGTACTTTTAAGCATCTAAATGGTGGTTAGTAATTAAGGTAGTTAATTTCCTACCAAAGACCCATGCATCAAAACTATTCTGGCCCAACTCAAGCCCATTGCCTCTATTTTTGTTCCACAGTCCACACTGTTTGTATCTTCCACAAAGCACCACACAAGTCATAAGCCAGGAACCCCACAGATTCACATGCCTTGATAATGGTAATAATAAAACACCACACCGCCCACCACCACCCTGCCACCAAAAAAAAAAAAAAAAACTTCACTGCCTATTACCAACAAGACATCATCTCTCCTCTTTCTGTACTACGCACACCTGCAATGGAGAGATTAGTAGAAGTATTAGACCCAGAGGTACGCATAGATTTCTTGCTCAATTCCAAATGCCGAGCCACAGTACGCTTGAGGTCACTCCGTCCCACAACCCCAGTTGCTTTCAAAATCCAAACTTCATCTCCGCATAAGTTCCTTGTTAACCCACCAACTGGACTCATTTCTCCTTTGTCTTTAGCTACCTTCCAAATCATCCTCAGACCACAAAATCAACTCCCACCCACTTTCCCACGCTCTCCGTCTGACCGTTTTCTAATCAAAACGGCTCCGTTTGCCTCCAATTCGCACGATTCAACTCAACCCGACTCACTAGCCTCCTGGTTCTCCTCTCTCCCTCTCGGCTCAACTCAGGACTTTAAACTCAAGGTTGCCTTTGTTGGCCCTTTTCTTCTACGCCACGCTGTCAGCTGTGGAGATGCTGACTCAATCAATAATATATTAAAGAGGCAAAGGACAATTCTGTCTGAACTGCCTCAGAGAGATGCCGAGTCCCTTCTCCGAGTTGCAGCTGAGTTGGATAACTCGGAGGTTGTGGTGAATTTACTGCTTGAAGCTGGGTTAAAGATCGACGCGCGTGTGAGTGCTGGCGGGGTGGGGTTTTATCCTGCGGATCCCAGGCGGGAATCCAAGGGGTGGAGTGAGTTACACATGTTAGTGGCTCTTGATCGGACGGATGAGGTTTTGGATTTGGTGAAAGGATTTGGGCCGTTGGATTTGAGAGATAAGGATGGAAGGACACCGTTGCATTTGGCGGCTAGCAGGGGAAATATAAAGTGTGCTACATTTTTGGTGGAATCGGGTGCTGATAAGGATGCTAAGAGTAAGGATGGAAGGACAGCGTTGTATAGAGCAGCGGCTAATGGTGACCGTAGGATGGTGGAGATGTTCATTGATATTGGTGCAGACCTAACCATTCCAGATGATCGTGGTCGTTCGGCTATTGATGCTGCTCGTGATAAGGGCCATGTAAGTTAAGAAATTATGCATCCAATTTGTGGCCTTTTGTTTATTATTACTAATTATTGGCAATGAAGCTCAAATTAAAAAGTAGAGAAATTCTGAGATAATAACGTTACTATTCGTTGCCTGTTTGGATATCTCGGGAGTAAAATCATGAAAAATAAAGAAAGAAACTCGATTTTTTTTAGTAAAAGAAATTTTATAATACTCAAAGAGAGTAACCAGTGAAAGTAATGTTATGCAAAACACAATTTTTTCACTCTGAATCAATATTGTTTTTTCCTAACTATAAATAATGCATATATTTACGTGGCATTACTTTGAGAAGCATCAGGTTTTTTTTTTTTTTTAACTCAAATTTGAAATCAGCCTTTACATTTTACGATTCAGTTTTTTCCTATCTTGTAGTTGAATTTTTATTGCTCTTCAATGGAAACAATGTACAACAATGCAGGAGGAGGTTGTGGAGATTCTACAGCGTGGAGAACTAGTACTAATGGCTGCGAGACGTGGTGAATTAGAGAGCCTTAAATCATTAGTGAGAAGGGGTGCAAGCTTAAAATATTGCGATCAATATGGGTTGACAGCCTTGCACGCAGCAGCTGTGAAAGGGCACAAGGACGTAGTGTCAATGCTCGTTGGATTTGGAGTAGATTTAGAATGCCGGGACAATGAAGGCCATGCTCCATTGCATTTGGCAGTGGAGGGTGGCAACTTAGAAACAGTCGAGGTATTGGTCGACAAGGGAGCCAATGTTAATGCCAAGAGCAATCGAGGTGCCACTCCTCTCTATATGGCTAAAGCCATCGGTTATGATGACATTTCACAATTTCTGGTAAATAGGGGAGCCTCCTCTTCTCCCTCGCTCGCTCTGTCTTCCTCATCATCTCTCATGTTACAACCAATATAAACCATCCTTAAATCTCATAATTTTCTTGCAATTTTGATTAAATATGCACAATTGTTAACGGCAACATGTTACGGTATCATCCTCAAGTCGATAATTTGATCATTCTTATAACTGATAATGGAGTAAATGGGAGTCAAGAATGCATCGCAAGACAATTATATGTTGTCCCGCATAACACTCACCAGGCTGTTGTGGAATTCTTTGTTGTTTCTCAGAAACAGAGTTTTGATACCCAAGTCCACCAAGTTCCAACCTTAGATCAGCGATTCTTTCTTTATAAACAGGGCTCGGATTTCTCTTCTGTGGTTGCGTTTACGGTGGGATCAATGCTTTGTTTTGGTGCTTTCAATCTCCAATATTATTATGATTTTCTTAGACATTACTGTTAGAAAGGTTTTGGATGGTGGGGTTCATGAGTCACGTCGCTGGTGATGGTGTTGGCCATGGAGTCCCATATTACTCTCTTGTTGCGAATTTGCACCTCTGGCCAGAATGCACGATGTATTGCAGTAGCAGGAACAACTCTTGCTCCTAGTTCCTACCATTCTTTGCAAATCCACGAAGAGTTTAAACAGCTTTAAAAATTAACTATATTACTCCTATTAAGATAAAGAGCACCCGTTGTAGAATGAAAGGGAAGGAATGAATCGAAGAATTAGGTTATTTCAAGTGCAGGCCTTCACACTGCACTTTTGCAACAGTTTAGGTTCGAGAGGGTTGAGTAATTCAAGGAAAAGAAATAGTGTCGACTGATGTTTTGACGAAAGGTATTCTGATGGGAACTTGTTAAAGACCCTGGTAATGCACGAGAATTGCAGGTAGAGAGTCTGTGTCTTGTGTGGGAGCTTATGCCTGATAGGGTAGCGCCCTTCTTTCTTGTCGTTTACTTTATTATATCCATTTTATTGCTAAATCAGCAAATTCAGCAGAAGAATTAATAGTGATTATTAATTTTCAAGGATGAGTGTCGACTGATGGCATGCTCTCTGTAGACCATTTGGGCTAAGGCTGCTTCCTAGTTTCTAATCTTTATTATATCCATTTTAATTTGTTGTGTTTCTCTAAGACTTCAGCTGACAGTGTATTTGTGTTGTTAACTGATGATTGTCCTTGAATCATCCCCTGTAAATTGTAATTCTGCAATCCTTTTACTAATGGAACGATAAATTATTGCTCTTAATAATTTGTTAGTCATTGTATCAACCCCTTTATTTTTTTTATTTTTCACTGATTTAGTACCAGGCTTATAGTTTTTGGTTTATTTAGTTTTTAGTAAAGGAAGGACTCGAGCTAAGAAACAAAAAGAAAAAAAGAGTAAATTATAAATTAATCCCTCTTGTTTTGAGAAATGAATTAATTATTTATTTTTGTTTTAAAAACTAATTATTTAATCTTTTATATTTTAATTATGTCAATAACTTAGTTCTTTCATCAGTTGTTTTGTTATATTAGTATTTTTTTTTAATTTTTCCTTCATTTGATTTATTTATCTCTTTCACTCATTCTTTTTCTCTCTTCTCAACCAAAAATAAAAAAGAGCAATTTGAAAAAAAAATACTAATCAAATAATAAATTGATAAAAAAAAATAATAAGTAAGTGATAAAATTGAAATATAAGAAAGTAAATAATTAATTTTTTTTTAAAAAAAAACGATCAATTAATTAATTTTTCTAAACGAGAGGGACTAATATAATTTATAGTTTAGTCAAGAAAAGAACTAACTAGACAACATTCTAACAGAGATTGAACCACAGTGGTCTGCCCGGAACAGATCCATTAGCCCTCAAGGGGGAAAATGGAAAAATCTGAGGCCTAACTCCCGACTAATTCCTATATTAAATGTAGCCCCCTGTATCTTTAGGGACACATGGTACCCGGAGCCGTGCACTCCTTTCCCAAACTCCTTCTCCTTTTCATTGTTGCATTGCATAAATTTTTGGGATTTGGCTCCCCTTTATATTAACATGACAGATCGTGTATGTGAAATCTAAATTATTGATTTTAAAATTATTGGCTTGGATTTTATCATAAAAAATAATTATTATTAATTGTAAAAGAAATATGAAATGAAATTTTGTTGTTAAAATAGTTTGAATTTAACCAATATGATATATTTGATATTTTTGAAGTAATTAATTATTTAACTAGAAAGGGTCGATTTAATAGTTAAAACTTCAAATCAAGTCGCTTTATTTTCACTGCCACGGTTAAGATATCAAATTATTTTGATATAATTTGACTATCATCATGTTGATTTATACTCAGCTTAAGTCATGGCAAGTGAAATTTTCACAAATTCGATAGTGATATTGGACTAGAAAAGATGAATCTATTTTTAATACATAAAAAAAGAAAAAGAAAAAGACAATAGTTGGAAATTTCCTACCTACACGTCGTACCTCGTATATGGTAAAGACACTCTCAACCTACAGTTGGATTTTTACGGTTTACGTCCCTTATCTCTATCCTTCGACTCATTTCCACTGTTACATTAAAGATTTCTCGAAATATATCTCTATTTCCAACTTTTAATCAATCTATCAAGTGGATTTTTCTGTTCACGACCTAGGGGTACTGATTGTTTGAAGCATCAAATTGCCCTGTGTCTATGTTAGAGCATAATTGGCCTTCAATGACAATTTAGTGATATTTTGTTTATAATCCCAATTGCTGCCGTGTCTTTCTATATCCAAATAATCCTGGAGTCGGCCTTTTCCATGGAAGAGTTTTTATATCTATGACATAATAAACATGATAAAGTTCTGATGAAACTGTCTGTGTTATTATTTATGGTAAGGAATACGAAAAGGGAACACACAGATTCTGTTAAGGAGTGGACATTGTATATGGTATACGCGAGACAGAAGTTGTAAATTTCACGTGAGGCAAGTAGAATATTTCTTATTTGCAGAAAATTACAATCCATGGAAAAAAAATATATAGTTAGCTGCGACAACGAGTAAAAAGCTAACGAGTGTCCTTACTGCATTTGTTAACGTCTTCTTAGATTTTAAATCTCAAGCTATCTGCTACGGTTTCAGTAAGCAACAAGTTTGCTAAGTTACTGAAAAAACAATTCATTAAAACTTGAGCTAAGCAATTTCAAGAATCTACCAAATTCTGCCTTTTTTTCAGCTTATTATTGGACTGGATCCCATCTCTAGTTAGTCAACAGACTGACTACGCATGACATACCTAGTAACCACCTCTCCTTAGTCCTCACTGCAGATCAAAACAGAAAGAAACCCCAAAAATGCATTCATTTCTCTCTCTGTTTCTCCTCCTCCTCTTCACTACGTCCCTTCCACTCACGCACTCCACTTCATCAGAACACTTCTTCAAACCATCCTCACCATCTCTCTCATCGTTACCCAAACCCAAACCCAAACCCAAACCCGAACCCGAGCCCAAAGAATACTTCGAACTCACCCATCCTCTACCGTCCGATCGTTTGACCCCATCATGCGAACTCCGAATCATCAACCATTCGTTTGCCAATACAATTAATAAACCTCCTTACTCCACCCCATACTATCCACCACTCGAATGCCCCCTCCTTGGTCCCACGTTGCTCTCGAATTCCACGTCAAATCGAAAGGTGACCAATACGACCGCATCTCCGCTTTATGGCTCGGTGGTTCGGAGCTCCTCCGCACCAGTACCGCCCAACCAGAAGAACACGGTATCTTCTGGAATGTTCGAAAAGATATCACCAAGTACTCCTCTCTCCTCGTTCAGAACGACCTCTACTTCACTCTTATGCTCGAAAACATCGTTAACGATATCTACACCGGCGTTTACCATGTTAATGTCACTCTCTACTTCTACAAAGACAACGCCGTCAAGGTTCCGTTAACCGGCAATAATCAAAATTTATTTACTCCAGTTTCACAATTACCGTTGGTTGGAGACGAGAGTATGTATGATCCACCAGCTGATTTAATAATTCCGATTTCAGCATCCGATAGTACAAAGGGTTATTGGTTTATAATAGAGAGAGATTTGGATGTGAAATTTGAAAAGGTTAGTTTTCCGTCGAATACACGGAAAGTCGTTTTGGAATTATATGTGTCGTTTCATGGAAATGATGAGTTTTGGTATTGGAATCCGTCAAATTCTTACATTAGGATGAATAATTTGAGCACTCCGCGGGGTAATGGCGCGTTTAGGGAGGTTTTTGTTACCATTGATGGGAAATTAGTGGGATCAGAAATGCCATTTCCGGTCATCTTTACCGGAGGGATTAATCCTTTGTTTTGGGAACCGGTTGTAGCAATTGGTACTTTTAATTTACCTTCGTATGATTTTGATCTGACGCCGTTTTTAGGGATGGTTTTAGATGGGAAAGATCATGTTTTTGGTGTTGGAGTTACGGATGGGATTGAGTATTGGCTTGTTGATGCGAATTTGCATATTTGGTTGGATTCAGCTTCCAACATTGTTGAAGCGAAGAATGTTGTGAATATTTTTCCTGCTTCAGAAATAAGTCGTAGTGAAGAGTTTGAATCGCTTGATGGTTCGTTTGAGATCAAGGCTGAGAAGTTTATACGATTGGAAGGATGGGTTAAGTCGAGTTCTGGGAATTTGACCACCAGAATATCTCAGGAGGTTAGGTTTAGAAGCTCGATAAGGTTCAAAAAGAATGGAACTTATAAGGCTGTTAAACAGAATATCAAGGTGAGGAGAGAAGCGAAAGTGTTGAATGATGTGGGTGGATTGGTTAGTAAGGTTATTATTAAGAGAAAGTATCCTCTCAAAGTGATTACTGTGACTCTTCCTGGACTGAAGAACGATACGTATATGCTTGTTACTAATGTTACTCATGCGGTGAATGAAAGGATTAGAATTGGAAAGTTGTCTAGCCATCTTAATAACAAACAGGTTTCTAACGGTTGGATGGAGGTTAAGGATCATACTGTTCTTTCTGGCGAAGCGATGACTAATCAAACTTACGTTTCCAGAAATGAGTTTGGTTGCTACGTTAGGACTGTTGCAACATTGAATGGAACACTAATCAAAGACAATGCTGCCTATGCTTGTCCATCTGTTATGTAATGTAATCTGACTATGTTGATTTTAATGTTAGTTTCAGTTTTGAAATTTCCAAATAATCTTTGCCTGCTGCATTTGTACATGTCCATCTGTTCGTCAATAGAAATTTCTGATGTTTATTTCATTGCAGAGCTTCTTGTTCAAACAAATTTTGCTTCTTTTTGACTGTTCCTGGATGCGTGTTTCTGAATATGACACAGTGCTGACTGATAACTTTTGAAACTCCTGCTGCCTACATATTGGTTTCCAATTAGAGTTGTGATGTTGCTGCTGATACTTGATTAGCTATTCTGCTTTGCGTTCTCTGGGAATTTTGTGAATTCATTTCAGTGATGATTTTGCAGATTTCTGAGTGTCTAACTCTCTGCTGCGTAACATATGCACTTTATTCAGGTTTTTGTGCTCTGATTGTTGCACAAGAACGCTTTAGGACTTGGGTGATTTCCTATTAGAACTGTTATATACACTAAAAAGATTAAACAAATAAACTGCAAAAGGAGGTAGCATGGAATAATGTCACAAAGTTGTTTATGTACAATACAACCGCAGGGTATCTTTAGAGGTTAGCAGTCATCAATTAATATTTAGAAGCGAGATGATTGTGTAGATGGGAGAAGTGATCTGATCAACTAATCTGTTCGGAAATTTGATTAGCAATGAAAGCGATGATGAATTAACTAATCTGCTTGATAATTTAATTAGTTATTCTGCTATGTGAAGATTCCCACACAACTATCAAAATGCTGAAAAAGGATGCCCTACCTGCATGAGATTTGGAAAAAATTGGACATGAAGGACATAAAAAAGGTAAGGGAAAACTATCTACTGACTGAATTGATAATGCCAAGAGACCAGCATCCAGATATGAAGTTTCACTGAACTTGCGCCAATTGTCAGGATTCCAGAGCTACAGGAATCGAACTCGAGGATAAAGAATGTGATACAGGCCCGAATGTGATGTACATTAAGTTGTGTCAACGAGAAGCAAGTGCCAATGTGACGCTGATTGATAATTGGCTTTGGTTTGTTGCCATTGCTGTCGGACTTGATTGTATCTTTCTTTTGCTTCTGGTTTTCAGTAGGATCTGATGGAGCTCTCCAAGAAGTCTTTTAAGTATGGTTTTCTAGTTCTCAATTTGACGTTGTTGTGTTAAACGTGGGCAGATGAGATGTTGACGAATGGTAAATCTATGGTAATGCTAACCAAGTAAATATTAGACATGGATTGTAGAGTAGACGGAGAAAGAACTAAAAAGTTCCGTTTCTTAACCCTTCTTGAAGCATGTCATCATCCATGATGGCTAACCGTCAGAATTCAGTTTACATTAGGTGCGTATATCTGAGACAGAACTGTTACATTCCCTATGAAGCAGAACGACTAGGATCCTGGGATGATGGAGCTAGACAAATAGTATGTAAATAGTCATATCTGCAAACAGATTTTATAGTGCCTTGTAGCTGGAGGTGCTTCACTAATGATGATTCGGGTGCATAACAAATTTTAGGCGTAATACAGGAGGAAAACCTCATGACTGCACTATCAGATTTAAATAAAATAATATTAAAAAAAAACTTCTAAATTCAAATCGACGGTCCAATGGTTATCGATGTTTGCTGATATCAGAATTGTAGCAACTCCAAACGACAAAGAAGTGTTTTTTTATACATTGATAGAATAACTACACAATTTTCAGTAATTGAATCAACCACTATGAATGATCTCTTTTTGTTCCTATAAGATGCACTGTCAAGGTTTACACTTCACCCAAAAAAGGGCTGTCCTCTAGTTGCAGCCATCGAACTGCTCTCAAGAATATTTTCATCTAAAAATCTTTAATAGCTTGATAATGTGACCATGTAATTTTGAATCCAAATAGATGCAAGCGTGGAATCAAGACGTCTGCACTCTTTCGTCATTATTAGGGACGCCAAAAACCTTTGTTACCAACGAGAAACTGTCCTTGATAGAGGCTTGTTGACCACTGCATCGAACGCAATACTGGATTTAGCTTGTTAAGCGTCTTCAATGTGTCTTGAATCAAAATATATCCACCAGGTCGCAAGATGCGATCCATCTCCACAGCTACATCTATAATATCACATCTGAAAAATTGCAGAGTAAATTCACCACAGCAGCCACAAAGAATATTATACTAGAAGTTCATTGACAATATGGTTACCCTTTGTCTCGTTTATTTTGTTTATGCAGCATCCAAACTGGAAAACAAGCATAAATTAAAGTACAACGAGCAAGCTTTAAAAATAAGTCATGATCCAGTACCTTTGAGTTAGATTTCTGAAGAGAAAGCTGGCATGCAATAGATCATATGTTCTCGGATAGGTATTCAAAGACTCGCACCAGTCGTGATAGATTCCAATCAATCCTCTGTCAAAAATAACGGGCAGAGTATCTTCCATGTGAATGGGGATAACATTCATCACCCAGTAAGGAAGATCAATAAGTGCAGCTGCAAATCTGTAAAAACAAAAATCTCAATAGCACTGCAAGATACAATTTCAGGGTGATCAAGCAGTCATGCAATTAAGTAATCCAAGGAAAAAGTTACTGCAGCTCATTAGGCAATGATGCATTTTTCTTTCCAATTTAAGTGTGTGTGCACATGCACACATGTAAATTTGATCAAACAACTTCAAGTGTGTGCTGTCTTGATTTGCCTTTCTAATGGAAAAAAACCTAGACTTGTGAAAAAGGGAAAGCTAAGAAAGAGAGAGGGATTCACAAGAGATAATGACATTAAAAACCACTAGCCAACTGAACATTTGCAAACAAAGTCATCACTCTATTAACAAAGTCATAGCCAAGACATTGCTCTATGTGGACAACTAAATAGGCAATTAAAGAAAAGGAGAGACCTAAGATGCAGCCAAGCAATAAAACCTAGCAAACAATAACAACCAGTCTTTAAGTTTGTGAAATTCATAGATCTTACCCTCCATAGCCAGCATTCATATCCATTATATTCCGTACACTAGACCAGTTTATAGCAGGCCCATCCAGATAAACATCAGATACGAGAGATGACCAATGTTTGGTGTCCTCGATAAACATCTCTTCAGCATCTGACAGGGATGCCATGCTTGGGGGCTTACTGCTAATTCTATCAGGCCATTGTGCTGGCCAGCCAACCAAGTTACCCATGCTATCAACTGGAAGTCTAGGAAGACATCCACTGAGAGGTACATACCTATCAGGCCAAAAAAAGATGTTGTAAAAAAATGAAAGAAGAAAAATCATCAAGGGGCAATAATTACTCTCTCTTTCACACAAACACTACAACTAGACAGACCAAAAGCCAGTCCTGCCAACCAAAACACCAACATCAAAATTTCCTGAAGGAGATGATATTTTCACAAAGAATACCATGGAACATTCTGCTCATCCTTCTGGCCACAAAGAGGAGGATCATTTTTTTGGCGTTTTTCATAGCAGGAAGATGAGACAGGCTTCTGATATATAACAAGCCCAATTCCTGATGAATCAACAGTCTTGGCAACAACCTTCCAGCATATAGATTTTGTCAAAGCTACCATAGCTGCACCAGTCATGCAAGATAAACTTTCCAATTAGATCAACTTAAAACATTCTACTGCCAATTCTGTTGATTTTGCAATAAAATGGATATAAGTAAGCAATATAAAAGAGAAGGTTGCCCTATATCGAGTACAAAGAAAAAATGGATTTAAGGGAGGATTGGGGTGGGGGGAAGAAAAGAAAGAATACAAGCACAGAGACAACTATCAGCTTACAATTCCAAACATTGCGATCTCTCTCATCATCACGATATACGGGAGTAGCAGACCACACAAAGAAACCCCCAGGTCTGAGAATTCTGCTGAGTTCCATTAGTGGTTTCCCTCCTGAAATTGTAATAAACAGCATCACAATAGCGTCAGAATTTCCAAATAGGCTGATAAAGAGGGCAGAACAATTCTAAAGATTATTCATAAAAGACAAAAAAATCAAACTTAAAAGATAAAACACTAATACCATCTGCATCCCAATGAACCCTGCATCGAGCGCAATGAATCAGATCAAAAGCATTATCAGGAAATGTCAACTTCTGTGTGCCAATGACCGAAAGCATAGCAGGAATCCCTCGCTCCAGAGCAAACTGAATCTGAGCATCATGTTCATCCTTTGGGGCAAATGACATGGTAATAACATCTTTGTCCAGCAAATAGCCGCCAAAGCTGGCAACACCACAACCAACATCTAAAATTACCCTAGTGCGCCTCCCCCACTCAATACTTGGCAAAGTCTGCATATTATGAGAATCATAAGAATAATCTACTAATTACTTCACCCAAATACACAAATTAGAACTCATACCAATATCCAATGACAAATTGGCGAATGCCTTTTCAGAGCATAACTAATGAGTAGCCCATCACAAACCATAATTAAGGAACAAGAATAAAATCAAGCCAATCCACTCCACCTTTTCAATAAAATTGATGTAGTTAGTAACTCCATCCTTGAATTGGGTACCCCCACCAGGGAAAACAAGAAAATCCCCCTTCTTAATCACCCAGTGTTGGTCCTTCTTGTACTCAACAAGCTTAGGGTGTGGGACATTATCATACCAAATCTGGAAAACAGAAAAAATAATAAATTAAATTGGATTATCCAAACAACATAGCCTGTAGAATTTATTTTGGCTTGCTTGTTAATTAAATCCTTAAATCAAAAGGGTAAAGAAAAAAAGACACCCATTTAACAGATGCAGAAAACTCATACAAGGGCATCAATCTGTAAATGGTAGTAGTATTTTACACCCTTCTCTACATTCATTACTTATTTACTTTTTTTGGATAAGTAACTTCAATCCCATTAAAATATATACATCCCCAAGAAAAAAAAATCTAATTTCATCCCTCACTTCTAAAACAATACAGAAAATTTAGGTAGCTCACTTAAAACTAAGCTTCCAGATTTTTTCCAACAACTAAACCTGAAATTGGAAGGAAGAAAATTAACAAACTGACTAAAACCAAAATCTTACCAAAAAGAAATAATCAAAATAATCTCACCATGTCCCTGCTTTTCGGCCACAGAACTGGCACTTTATACCCATTAGGAAGCGGCACCAAACACCTTGGACTTCGTTGCGGACAATGCCTCTCTCTGTGCTCCATATGCCTTCTTGATTTCAGCTCTTTTATTGCCTGGAAATTATCCAAACACGGTATATAATCCACTGCCACTGCTCCTTTACACGCCTTCCATTTTATCTTCAAATCAACATCATCAACTAATAAATTATTATCATTATCATCATCATTATTTCTAGGAGTGGTAGTGGTAGTATTGTCATAAACATTTGAATTGGAATCATTACTATCATCGTTCTTGGTATTACTGGCATCATCGACATTTTGGGTGGTGTCAAGTGAAACGGTGGCGTTTTGAGAGGGCTTTGTGGTTGTAGGTTTAGGGTTTTGGAGATATCCGAGAGAGAACGTGAGAGGTTGAGAGTTGTTTGAGTATAAGAAGAAGATAGTGGCGCAAATGAGTAGGATCCCAAGAGCGAGAATGAAGGGGTGTTTTCTTTCTTTGATCAGATTTTGAACTGATACCATCGCCATTTGCTTTCTTCTTTGGTGAACTTCTGGGAAAGAAAGAGTTTATTTATGTAAGTAGCAAGAATCGAGATGAAGATCAAGATCCACACAGATTTTGTGTAGGAAGAGAGGGAGATGGCATTGAGGGATTTTAAGAATGTCGTTTTCTAGGAGGATACAAGTCTTTTTTTTTAAAAAAAAAAAAAGGTAAAAGAACCTTTTAAAAGTTTTGCCTGCTAACTATTTTGGCGCAACTGTTGACGTTTTTATTTATTTTCACAAAAAAAGAAAAAGAAAACTTGTCGAAGTCAGAAATTTTAGACATTTAGATAGCAGACAAAACAACAATTTTTTTCCTTTTGACATATTAGTTTTTGACATTGGAAGCGAAAGGCCAGCCTACCTATGGAGTTTTTTCCTAAAACAATGCACTTTTAAATCTTATACTGTCCGTGGCGTGCTTGTAACTTTTTGGCCATTCAATTATAGGGACTTGAGAGCGGTTCGCGTCTTCAGGATGATGATTTATATTGAGTTAAATAAATCTCGTATTTTTGGATTATTTAAAAAAATTTATTGTAACTTCCCTATTTAATGTTATTCAAAATAAATCTTATACTGTGGCATGATGATATAGAACAACTCTTTCGTCAATTTTTTTGTCAAATTGATAATTTTTCATTAATCTACTAATGCCTAAACAATCAAGTGATTATATTGTCAATTTAAAGATAAAATTATAATTTTATTTCAAAATCATTTTTAAGAAAAAGTTAAAATAATTAATAGGGATAATTACCAGAAAAACCCTTTAAAAAATCTTATATCCAAGCCACCCATCAATTTATTTTTAAATCTCTCAAACTCAAAATAATATTTTTCTTACCAAAATACTCAATAGTTAACCTTCAACTTAACATTAGTTAACTATTTGGGCTTTTGGTAAGATAATTTTTTTATTTTTAGGTTTGAGAGATTTAAAAAATAAATTAATGGATTTTTTAAATAGAAATTTTTTTAGAGTTTTTTTTTATAGTTTTTATCTAATAATAAACTCATTTCATAGTCTTTAATGAGTTTGATATTTATAATTTTTTTTTCATGATCAAGTCAAGTTCTTTTTTATTGCATTCGAAAAACAAAAAAAAAATTTGAAGTTCCTTGGCTTTTAATCACTAACATTCGAAAAATATTTTTTTTATTATACTAAAAAATTCCTTATGTTAGAGTTTTTTTTTCCAATCGTTTGTTTTATTAATTACAAGATTAATTTTATTATCTAGTAACTATAGCAAGCTGATGCAATTTAACTAATTGATATTGATGAAATAAGACTCTTATTATTCTCTTGTAATTTAATCAAAGGGTTACCATTCAAATAAGGAAAATAAGAATATGTATGATAATGAACATTAATGATTTCTTAAATCCTAATATATTTATAAAAAAAGAGAGCATAATCGGTAATACTAGTTTTTAATTAATCAAAACTCAGTATCTTTTATCAAACAATTAAATTAAACTACAAGATGAATATATAACATATTTTGGTACATTAATTAAATAAAACATGATCATCCATAATAGAAATACACATCTTAAAAGATAATGGTTTCATTTAAATAGGAACAATTACTAGAATACCTTCTAAAAAATCTTCTATATAAAAAATTAACTATTTTATTTTTAAATCTCGTAAATACAAAATAATATTTTTAAATCTCATAAGCCCAAAATAATATTTTCGTACAAAAACAACCAATAATTAACACTAGTGTTAATTATTGGTTGTTATTAGTAAGAAAAATATTATTTTGAATTTGGAAGATTTAAAAATTAATTTGTGAGTTTTTTGGATAGAAAATTTTTTTATAAGGTTTTTCTGGTAATCATCCCTAATTAATAATCATTAAAAATTTCTTAAGTTTTTTTAAATTTTCTTTATCAATAATTATTATAAAAATTTTCTTTATCACTTTTTTTAAATTGTAATATTCTATAATAATTATTAATTTATTATTTTTAAAAAAATTGATTTTAATTATTTTCACTTTAAAATTTTTCTAAAATAATCAGATTTTTTCAATTTTGTACAATTTTATAATAATTATTAATTATTTTAATTTAAAAAAAAACTAATTTTAAGATAAAATTATCTTAAATTGACACATGTTGCGATCTAACCAAAAAACATTAACCCAAAAACTATTTTGTACCCACATCTAATGGTACAAAACTTGTTCTAAGCAACATCTAGATAAAAGAGTTACAACAAAATTTTGAAAATAATACAAATAATACAAGAACATGAAATGTATTTAACCTATTATATTATTTTCAAGTCAAAATGCTTACAAAAGACAAGTTGCAGATGACCATTTCCATTTTGCCAAATTCAATTTCGAAAGCAATTTTCAAAATAGGTACTATTTTGTGTTTAACCTTTTATATTATTTTCAAGTCAACATGCTTAAAAAAGGCAAGTTGCAGATGACCACTTCCTTGTTGCCAAATTCAATTCCGAAAGCAACACAAAATAGGTAGTTAGGTACTGCCTGCTAATACTGTTCATCCAGCTTCAGGCTTTAATTGAAGATTTCGAGAAAAAGAATGCCAGTGCGCGCGAGCCTCAACGTAGTTTCCAACACAAGGAAGAACATCAATGATCATGGAACTTCCACAAAAGCATATAGATAGGCCTAATCCAACTGCCCTTGGCGTATGGCGGAGCAAGAGAGAACGAGAGAACGACAACAGACAACAGACAACAGACAACAGACAACAGAAAATTGTTTAGCAGCTGAATAAATTTGTTCTGTATCCTCCCCTAAAATCTATTCGATGATCAGGTAGTAAACTGGTAAAATAGCTCATCAATACCATGCCCCCAAAACCTTGTTCAAAAAATTGGGAAAATGATTTTCCAAACAAAAAGTAGCAGCCTCCGCTGCCTTTTTCACTCCATTATGCCCCCTGAGTTCTCCACATCAGCATTTCCCATTCCCGTATCTTCTTCTTCTTCACTGTCTTCATCACCACTGATCTCTTCATTGGCATTCCGTAGCTTGAGCATGTGCTCAGCAAGCAATTTATCGTCTCGTTCGCTCACCTAAAAAGACAATACACCAAGTCAGAAGCCCAAAATGGAAAGCAAGTTATACAAAAAGAAACCCTTTTGGGCTGACACCAAAAATTCTGAGATGAATTCCAGTTTCATGAAGTGTTCAAAATCAATAAAAACCCTTGAGCAGATTGAAAAATTGACACTCACTGCTCTTGGTGGCTCCTTCACAACAAGTTTCCCCTTCTGCTTCTCTATTGCTTCAGTGCAAGCAACAATTGCTTTGTTGAGAATTGATATTCCTTGATCCTGCACATCCCAGTAAAATCAGCGCATTTCATCAGCAACGTACTACTACTCATTGACTGGGCCATGACAGTATCCCAAGAACATCTCCAAGAAAGTCAACAAAAAAACAGTTGACAGGACCTTTAATTCTAGCCTGATAACAAATGATAGGAATCAGAATGCTGGTCTGTAAACTGGCTAATCAACAGGTACCAGCTCAGTTCATATTCTGGCCCCCAACAAAATGTGCAGTAAATAGTTCGATGTAAATCAATATAAATGAAATGACAGTATAAGATAAAGATACTAAGAAGTCAGAGTTCTTTTTTCCTGCAGGCTGATTTACCATTCCAGTGACAACTCACTATCTCGCACAAATCACAACCTAGGCAATTTCAAAATCTGAAAATGTACTGCCCTGAACTTTAGGAGGCAGGCTAATCACCCCCTACCAGGTGATTAAAAAGAAAGAGGAAAAAAGGTGAGGGTCACAAGTAATATTGCCACCTCAAGAGCAAGGGAGTGCAGAATAAAAAACGATCCACAGCAAGTTTGACTATACATTTATATCCTTCATCATGCGTTATAATAGATTACATCTCTGCCTATGCTTCTATGTCCAATAAAGCATCAAAGAATATAAACGCAATGAGATTCAGCATGTGGACATAAGCATTACACAATTGGCATTCTCTCTATGCATCACATAATCAGTCATTTAGGAGTTGGGATTTGCAAATAGAATTTCACAGCCGCCTACATAATAAAAAAATCAAATTTATCATCATGTAAGGTTCTCTATTTATCCCAAGAGAGTTCAGCGAATAAGGCTAACCTTGTCTAGGGTTTGTGTGGTGAGAACATAGAGAGGAGGAGCAACAAGTTTAATTTTCACAGGGCAATCTGCATTGCCAGCAGCCTCAGCTTTCCGCATTGCATCCTGCAAAGTCAAAAGGTGGTTTTTGTAATATAGAATTAGCATTGCAATACTAGAATGTCTACCCACGATAAACTTAGGTCAAATGCATGAACACCATCCAAAGGAGAAGAATAAAGGCAAAACTAAGAATGCAAATTGGACCTTGATGTGGAGAACACCATCAAACTGGAAACATTTCATCTCAATATCAGCCCGTATCTTCAGTGGCTGTGGGGTCATTCTTCTCCTGATATTCTTAATCAAAGCTTCTTTGATTTCCTCTGATACAGCAGGCACTACCTTAGTTACCTGTGACAAGAATGAAATCTCAATAATCAACCAAAAGAATGTGACAAAGACTTCACCAAACAATGGTCACCTCCTGTCCATCAGCGCTAGTTTCTTTGACTTCACGAGTGAGGGAATCCAAAACTGAATCAGGGTCAGTCACCATGATTTTGAATGCCTGCATGTCAATTCCTTAAGTACTGCATAACTGGTCATAAAGAAGGAAAATCTCCAAAATAAAGAGGTTCAAATTCTCACCTCAAAAGCATGTCCATATTTCCTGTACAAAGGCCAGCCAATATTCACATACAATTCCTGCAATAAGTGCCAATTTTGGTTATAGGCATAGACTATTTGAAAGCATTCAAATGCTTGATCATGACATACTGTATTACTGTTATCTTAGGCCATCACGAAGTTAAAGGAACTCTGGGAAAAGGCAAGTTACTGAACAAAAACAAATCATTACAGGAGGAATAGGATATACTCAAATCAAACGAAAAGCTTCAAACGCTTTTACATGTCTACAACCATGATAATCCTATTGTTTCAATTAAACTCAACCACCAATAAATCTCCATCGTATCACATCAACCAGAAGCAACCTAGCGCTGCAGCCAAAGTGCAAAAATATTGGCCAGCATCTTAAAAAGTAACCACATCAAAACACCTCACTTTCTTAAAACAAGGCACAATTAAAAAAAAAAAAAGAAAAACAAAAGTCAGTTTCTTAAAGCAACACAGAATTATTATAAGGAAAAAAAAAGCACAAAATAGCCTCATCACCCCTTAATTTCAATAAACACAAACAGTAAGAGTCTCAAATTTTGAAAAATTAAACTCCACAAATTCTATATAAACACACAGCGCTAATTCACATCCAATTACATCAGAAAATAACCCAAAAATGTACATAGATACTGAAAATTCTATATAAACACACAAAATAGGGCAGTATACTAATTGACTGCCCAGAATTTCACTAAATTGAAATCAAAATAACTCAAAAGGTCACACAATTAACCACCAAAACCCTAAAATTGATTTAAAAAAAATTACCTCCAAATCAATACCCAGAGTCTCAGCGACATGTCGCATGATAGAGTGAACTAGCTTGCTCTTGTTATACCTCTCTTCGCAAGCTTGAATATCCTCTTCACTAACCCTTCTCTTACTCAAATCAATATACCCTTTCTCTTTATCAACACGCAAGACCATGACAGGCTCGATGCGGCCAACTTTAATCAAGCTACTAACACTCCGAATCCGACGGCGAGACAGCTCCGAAAACAAGATCATACCCTCTATGTTGTTGTATTCGAGTAAAGACACATAAGCGCCCATATCGGCGATGTTTTTCACTTGAATCATAACAGCCATGTCTACCTCTGGGTATCGCGCTTCGTACATGCGACACTCCAGATTGGGTGAGTGCGTCGCCATGATTTTTTGACTGATCGAATTGGAGATATTGTGTGTTTGAAGATTTTTTCTTGCTGTCTGTCTGTGTTTGGGGAGAGAGGAGATGGAGTTAGGGTTTTGAGCAGGGGTAGTTGCTGAACAGAGTTTGTTCAGGGAAAAACAGCGGTTTTTTTGTAATTTACTCCGGCATTTTGCTTCCGTTTTTTTTTTTTCGAATTGATTCCTGTTTTGCTAACGTACGTCGGTGGTGTAAGGGGTCAACACTCGATTTTTAATATTTTGATTTCGATTAATTAAATAAAAAAATAAAAAATTCGAATTGAATTATTATTTAGATTCTATTTTTCAATTAAAACTGATTTAAAAAATAATTAAATAGGTTAAAATAATTGTGTTAAGAATTATGGAATCGTTCTTGTAATCCCAATGGTTTAAATTAATTTATATAAAATATAATAAATATTTATTTAAATAAAAAAGAATAATATCATATAATAAAATATCAAAATTTAAATACACATATACTATTTCACATCTAAACATATAATGTTATTAAAATAGTGATTGTTCAAACCTTTTGTAAACTAAAATTTAAATAACAATAAAAATAAAAACTGAACTAAAAAAAATGGTTCATTTATTTTTTAAATTTTGAGTTAACAACTTAACAGAAATGGATATTTGGATTTGGTTTTTAGGTATGAACCAAAAAGTGCTGCTCCTAGGTGTAAGATATGGATGAGTAGATTATAATTTAGTTCTTATTAGTTTTTTATCTACATTATACGACGAAGTCGGATGAAACATATAAAATTATATTTTTAACTTGATGGTTCGTGCTATATTGTAGGTTTACTAAAATAAATAAAATCGAAGATAAAAAAATTATTATATATTTCTTTAATTGTATATTTAATTAATTATTCATTGTGTTTTTAATAAATTTTTTATCAAAAAGAACACGATTTATTATTCTATATCCGGATTCTTAACTAAAATCTCATAAGAAAATTAAAAAAATCCATGGATTCTTAACTAATAATTTTTCTTATAATTTTTTTTAAAAAAATCTAAGATAAATTATTTAAAAACACTTTTTAATCTTTAGATTATATATATACATAACCATGTCATTGTCATTTAAAAATTAAAAGAATTCGTTATATAAATTATATCATTTAAAAAATAAATAAATAACAATATTCTAAAAATTCATTAAAATACGTACATAGATCTCTCTCTCGTCTCTTCATTTCTCTCTCTTCTTAGTAGTTAGATATCGGATTACAATACAAATAATGTTGTGAATTAAAACAAAAATTATAGAAAAAATGAGGAATGAATTAACAACATGAGCAAAATTTTACGTATAAAATACATGAAAAACCTTAAAATTACTAAAATACCATTCGATGTATAGTAAAAAGGGGGTGAACAATATTGTGAATGAAATAAATGTTTAAAAAACTACTTAAAATAACAAAAATACCATTGACTTAAAATAAAAATAAAAAAAAACCATCAATTGAATAGAGTTTTGTGAGTTTGTGAATAGTATAGGAAAAGTAAAAACTCCATCTCTTTTAGGGTTCTTTGTAAAGTTTTTTAGCACCTTGATTTCTCTTCAATTCCAATTTTTTTTTGTTTTAATTTCATTCCATTATGCCCAAGCTATTCGCAATTGATATTATCAGTATCTCGGCAATAACCCATAATTCTTTTAAATTAATTACAAATAAAACCCTAAAAATGAAAACCCAAAATTAAAACATCTTTTTGTTTTTGGATTTTATATTTTTTTCTTTTTGGTATTTATGATAGAGCGATGAACACTGAAATTAACTTAAATCTTTAAAAACAAAATGAAACCAAACCTATCAATAATAATAAGAATAAATAATGATAAGAATAAACCTAAAAATAAAAGCTCATGAGAAAGTTGTAATGTGTAAATAAAAATAATAATAAATAAATTATAAAACAGATAGGGGGCAAAATTTTGAGCTACGACAATACGCATGAGATTTGATGAAGAGTACTAACATTGATAGTAAACTCTTCGGTTCTTTTATTTTTTTATTTTTTTATATAATGAAAGATATTTATTCTGGTGGAAATTTAAATTTTTTTATTCTATCAAACACAAAAATAATTGACTTTTTTTCTCTAGAAAAATTTAAATATCTCCTCATACTCAATTAAAGGTAGATCAACGTAATATTTGTTGTGGAAAGACCCTATAATACTTTTTCGGAATAAATTTTTCAAACAATACAAATCGCACAACTTTTTCGAATAGTATAAATAACAAAGTGTAAAAAGTCAAAAGATGCATGCGTTTCTGGTTCTTTGGTTTATAATTATAGTTGCATTTTTCAGATAATGTTTTTAAGCATTTTTAACTTTTCTTTAGGATGGCAGTTTGAAACAATGTAAACTTTAATAACATGTGATAAATGAGGTTTAGAAGCTTAATCATATAGAAAATTATTTGCTCCCCATATATTATTGAGGATTTGAATATTAAAGAATGACGAAACAAAATATATATTTTTACTTTTTAAGTATATTCGAGTTTATATAAACAAGATTTGTTTAAAATTTGATTGAAAAAATTATATAGTCTTGAGTTATAAAAAATGACTTTATCCTTAGTCAAGATTTTTTTTTTTTTTTTTTTTAAGTACATTCAAGTTTAGGTAATCAAGACTTATTTAAATTTTGATTGAAAAAATTATATACTCTTGAAGTATCAAAATTGACCTTGTTCTTATCGTTAAAAAAAATGAATTCTATTTTGAAAGGAGTGAAAATTGAATTTGAGATCCCATAACGAGTGAAAGAAATTATAAATTCTATTTTGTCGTACTACCATTCATTTAGCCTTTCATGAAAGTGTATGATTGGAAGTTTTCAAATAAATTTTGATGGTTAAAAGAATAAATCGATGTCTTTTTTTCTTTTAATATAATATTATTAAAACATAAATATAAGAAGAAAAATACAAGGTTTAGCGTGGTTCGGTTATGAAGACCTACATTTACAGGAGAAAGATATCAACTTTTTATTTATGTCACACTCAAAAATGCAACAATAACAGCTTCTTTTTATAGGAGCCATATACACCAGAATAGAATAGGAAGCCACTATCCATAATCTCATAATTTACTGTAGGCTCTCACTCGTTTTTACTGTGCACCAAAAGAAAAGTCATAAGTTAGTTACTGGATAGAATTAAGTTGATTGCTAATTATTTTTCAAATTTCTAAATTGTCTTTTTAAAATTCACTTTTGGCTCTTTTCTTAGTAGATGACATTGAAATATTCTACAAGATATGAAGGATATTTCAAAATAAAAAACAATTAAATTATCATGAAAACATATGGGAATGACAAGTTACAAACACATGTGAAAATTCATTAATAAATTATTTAAAGGAAAAGGATAACTAGTTATTTCGTTGAAAAAATAAGGATTCAGTAATGGCCTACTCTATATATAACGAGCTTTTTAACCACTCAAATTAGACATAAGCTTTTAGAGCTTAGAGTTACTCCGATTTTCATAATTGGACATTTCACAAATAATTTTAGGTAAAACGGTACCAACTTTCTCAAAATTTGAAATCAATTGAGATTCAATTTCTTAACTTTCAATTTGAAGTTAAACCTCCCTCCAATTAATTTTTATTTGAAATTGAGTTTTTTCTATTAGGTAACATGTAAGTGTAATTTTTTATAAATAATAAAATAACTTTCTAGAAGACAAAATATTCATGAGTATATATTTTTAACTATTGAAACAAGTTAAAAAGTCAATCATGTATACATCATATATACTTATATCATTAAAATTGATGAAAACTTAATAAAAAGATTCAATTTTAAATAAAAAATATTTGAAAAAATACAATTTAAAATTAGAAGTTGAAAGGTTAATTCTCAAATGACTTAAAATTGATGAGAAATGTGAATTATTTAATTTAATTTCAATTCAATTCGACTAGATGATTACCAGTTGTCGAAAATGTTTATGAAATGAGAGTGTAGGGTTTTCAAGTTTGAATGTGATTATGTGTGGATGTAATTAATATAATTCATTAAACCTTGCATGAGCAATCAATGTTTTGTAATAACATGTATATTGCATAACAAGACAATCTAGAACTGAGAAGAGACATGTTTACGATTTATTTTATTATTTTAATCATGTATGGAAAGGTTATGAACTAATGGAATTTCGAAGCTACACATAATGCCAACAAAAATGATAGTTTTATTATTATTTTTGTCATATACAAAAAAATCTACAAGATATTTGACAAGACCAATAAAAATAAGATAAATAGATAAAATCATTCGGAATACATATATTATTAAGCGGTGATTTTTTTTTATCATTATATTTTGTTTTATGTAATAAATTAAATTTACCTAACACTTCGTCTTGTTTTGCAGATACATACAGGATAGAGAAAAACCAGACATTCTATTTATCTTTACAGGTCACGTTCAATTATAACAAGTCACGTTACTATTATTTTGCTAGATAAGTTGTCTTATACACATCAGAAAATATACACTGAAATTAAATCAATTTTATTGGTCTTTTTTATATCCGGAAAATCTATTAATATTGTGGATGATGTTAATGTTTTCTAGCCTCGTATAGATAAACTCATGTGAATCAAGATGGAGAGCCTCGGGGATAGATCACAATTTTTTGGGTTCTAATTGTCGCACGTATATGTCTTTGCAAGACTGCAAGCAAAGTTGGATCCAGGAGAAATTGTGTATACTTTATGCACTGAACGGTTGATTATGGTCGGTGGGTATATGACATGGGTACATGCATTATCTGTCATTCGTAAAAGTCTAGTGTAAATTATAAATTAATCCTTCTAGTTTTTTAAAAAGAATTAAATAGTTTGTTTAGAACCTAAACATACCAGTACACGAAATTCGTGTATAATGAATCTGTGCGATGAGTGTATCATTTCCCACATTTTTTTTTGACAAGAGAAGCAAACAAGAAAGACTAAGATCTAACAAAAATCATATTCATAGTATCGCACAGGAGAATAGAATTTAAGTTTTAAAGAGGAGTAGACCAAATATGAAAAGAAACTTAAGGATTAGCACCTAATTTTGCAAGAAAATCAGCACATTTATTCTCTTCTATTAAAGTATGGTGCAAGTTCGACGTCCAACAACAATTAATGAGAGTTACGATGTCCACAGTAAAATGATAAGGATGAGAATAATTCTTAACATTCACGATTAATTTGACTGCTTTTAGAAAATTTGTTTCCACTAATACTTGTCTGTATCCTAATGACCAAACTAATTCCGAACCAAACCGTATATCTTGAAGTTTAACTAATTTCGAACCAAACTGTATAGCTTGAAGTTTAACTAATTTCGAACCAAACTGTATAGCTTGAAGTTTAACTATCATATTAGTTGTACATCCAATGAACTGGTGGAATTCATGAATCCACTTACTTTTTTCATCTCGGATTAAGCCGTCCATGCTTGTTCTATCTAGATTTCTAAAAGACCTCTAGTATTAGCTTTAATACAACCTCGTAGAGGTTTAACCCATGAAATCCATCCAAGTGGATTTGAGCAAGTTTTTGCATTCGTTTATTCAAATGCATGTTTACAAGCTATCCAGAGATCTTTAATGGTAATATTGAGCAAAGATTAAAGAGACTTTACCTTATATAATTTTTTTTATTACGAGAACACCAAATTACCCAACAAATATAATGAATTTTCTAATTCTATCTTCAGCATAAAGAGACATAAAAATATTCGTACTCAGTTATTCTTCGAGATCACAATTGGAAAAACCATTATTAATATCCATATAACCATTTTGAATCTATAAATTTTAGCTCATTTGCAGTCTCTCAACACATGAATCGTGTTTTCACAGCTTGCTTCACATCTCCCACAATGCTTCTTCTATACTGAAGTTTATTGGTGGGTAATCTTTTGGGAAAAACTACGGTTTAAAAAAAAAAAAATTGATGTTTGTGAGGAATACAAAACTTTCAAATATTACTCCATTTAGAATCCAAAGTTGGATAAGATGTTTTGTCTACTAAGCATAACTTGATTTAGTTGTATACTCACCGATTTCAAGCTATTTTTCATACTTGTTCATCTTGTAAGAGGAATGATACAAATAAGTTCTTAAATTATAGGTGGAATATCAGTTCTAAGGTTGGAAAAGTCCCAAGCATATTGATCACAAATAAAAGCCGAAACTGGCAAGTCTTTCTCTTCTTCATCAATATTTCGAAGTAAACAGTTAAGAGGAAACTCTTCCACTCTCTGATCGTGCCATAAGAAAATTGAAGATCCATCGTCAATCCGCCAAACATACCCCTCACGTAGGAGAGAAAAAGCATTAGAACAGCTCTTCAAGTGGACGAGATATTAGAAAAAGGATAGTAACCTAAGAAAGACTTATTCTTGAGATATTTAGCTTCCATGACCCAGACCATAGGCTTTTCCATATTTCTGATTATAGCTCAGCAGAGTTTACCCAGCATTGTCACATTATTGTCCCTTTCTGGCCTTAATCCCAAGCCACTATAATTTTTTATTTAGGCCCTCTCCTTCCCTTTTTTTTTCCACCACCATCCATTTCTCAAATCCTGATTTCTCGTTCGAATTAATGTCATGATTTACAGCTGATGCACTTTCCATATCCGTACACCTTCCCCACGCATTGCCTGACCATTTGTTGCTTCTTCGTGGGATTATCCGGTGTTGAAACGTGCAAAGGACATTGAACATCTTTGTGGCCATATTTTCCATACTTGTGGCAAATAGCATGGAGTCCTTTATATTCGACGTTATAAATTTTCTCATCCAACTCTAGTTGACCAACAAGTGGTTTATCAAGTAAAATCTCCACACAAAGTCTAGTAAAACAACCTCTGTTGGCTATAGTGTTATTCTTATCGATTTTGACTGGTCTATCAATACCAGATGCTATAGCTATTAACAAATCCTCATCATACTACTAAACTGAAGCATCTAGCAGACTAATCCATACATAGGTAGAATCAATCAATGCATCATCCACCAATGAGAAGCCTGGATTCCATGGCTTAACAACAAGCTAATGATTACAAAAATAAGCCACAGACCTCTAAATAGTACATTATGAAAATCAAGTTTGTTTGTTTGTTTGTTTTGTTTTTTTATCAAACTTTACGAGAAAGTAGCTACCACCTAAATCAAGCAAATCAAAGCCTCTATTGGGTTTCCAGAGTTGCTCAATTTTGGCGTATAAAACTTTGAAAGAGATAGATATCTTCAATAATTTTACCACAACCGATTGTCTCCATGGTGTTTCTAGAAAGTCTAGAAAGTATGGATCAATAGAGAAGACAAAAAAGAGATTGGCACTTTTGAATTCTTTTTTCACCACTCCAGAAGCCAATAGATCATCAACATTGCGTGGTCTTGCTAAATATTAAGTTTCTTTAGCCCGTTCTCGTCCCGAATTTTTTCCAATAACGATGATTGCCATTTGTTTACGGGTGTGACAGGGCTTTCAGTCTTATAGGTTCTGGTTTTGGGATATGGTTTTGGTTTGGCAAAAAAGATTCATGTGATTTGTCTGGTGGTCTAGTTCTTTTGGTGGGGCGAGGTTAATTGGAGTTATTTTGAGTTTCCATGGTAGAAGAAAGGCATTCTTTGAAAAAGGACTTGCACAAATTGACCTTCCCACAAAATAAAATAAATCTAGAGGTATTGTAGGCTTCTAAGTGTGGCAAAATATCAAAATTTGGACTTGCGATCAGCATCCACTCGGATCCTCTCGTGCTGATGAACAAGAATACATCTAAGAGGCAGAGAGCCTTTGTATTAAAAACACCCTTAGAAAGTCCTGGACTCACATCTAGTCATTAAGGCCATGTACACTCCGAAATGTAAATCTAGACAAATAAAACGAGAAAAGAGATTTGGGGATAAAAAGAAAGGGGCTCCAGAAAGAATCACGATCTTCCTGAACTGCAAAAGGACGAAATGTCCTGCGCCATAATGTATTTGTTGCTGGTATAAGCCGTTGGATTGAAATTTCAGATTCGAATATCCCAAAAAGCAGTCAGGCTGCTCGACAGCAAAATACGCAAAACCCAGCCTGCCCAGTCATTAGTCACTGGGTCATTCGAACAAATCAACGCAATTTGTAGATAGCCTGAAGTATTGAATAAAAGAAAAAACTTTTAAGATAGGCCTGGGCCGTATTGGAGTCCCCATTCATTAGTCACTAGCTGATCCGTCGTTTTTTGAAATCCTCCAGCTAGCCAACACAAAAGCTTAATACTGTAATCATTTCGGAGTATACTGTTCAAAACCGGCCCGATCATACCCATACTCCTGCAGACTCATCTTCCCTCCGATGATATTTTGCCTGTGACGAGTTTGACTGATGCCGTCCATAATTACAGGTATAGAGCTGTTGTACTGTTGGAAACCCGAAATTTAACCATCGGAGTTGCCAATTTTTAAACATATCAGCTCACACATTTCCAGCAGATGGCTTATAAGAAGAAATGCAAGATATTTGATCCCCCAAAGTAGTTTGCAAGAACACCCATGTACTTCACTAAAATCTTAACAATGCAGAGATCCCAGATTCCCAATGACGTAATCGACATGAAGAACATCAACTAAGTGTATCACATAAAAGTTGAAGTGTGACTGCATACACATCTGCATTCCAAAATACACCGAAAAGCGAAGACCAAGAAATTCTGACGAGGCCGAATGCCTGACGAAAGAGTACTTTCTGGGGCTGTAATTCTGACAAAAAGCCACAGTTTTCTTTTGTTAGAACTACAATACGGTGGCCGATTTGATATAAAATGCTAATCTGCATGAGAGAGAGAGAGAGGGAGAGGGAGAGAGAGAGATGATGTAGAAAGCAAGAAGAGCTACACTTATGCCATCCAATCCATTCATGTATGGCCAAGCCTTTTAGTGCCGAGGAACTAGAAAGGTTCAACAATTCCTATCCATACCATGCATGCCAAAAATTGAACCCTCTTAGGCACCAGTACAACGTATTAGCTTAGTGGTATAGTCTACCTTTTACGTATATACACATCCAATCTATGTCAATTCCTATAGAAAATTAAAGTATGCAATATCAGGGCATCTATAGAAGTGATCGTTATGCATATCTAGCAAGAATGAGATTTTAGCAAGCAGCCAAGCATGAAGAGAGAATTATATCATCTTTGAGTTCCTCCAACCATTATGCCAAATTGCTTGGTTTATCGTTGTTCTTCATGATAGCTATAAAAAAAAAAAAAAAAATAGCAGAAAAATTATGCATTCAACTCCAACTGCAAATTTCATGATTATGTTTTTTTGTACAAAGGCGATGATGCATACCTCAGGTTTTCCTCCTCTTAAGCCGTCTCCACAGCATTAAAATGTGCATCACTCCCTCACTCAGTGTTGCCTTCCTTTCCTCTTTGAAATTCCATAGCTCTTGTATTGTATACCTACCACTAGGGTTATATTCGTTCATTTCGCTCAATGCTGTTATCACAGCATTATAAACTTCATCACCATAGTCACTCTTTAAACTCCTCAAATTTTCATCATATTCGTTGATTATTTCCTACAAAGCCAAATTGAGGAAGAATTTGATAAGGTCACAGCTTGTTTAGAAATTGCAAATTGATAAAATTCAATTAATTCAAAAGCTAAAAATGGCTGCTTTCAGCAACTCCACAAATCCACCCATTGAAGTCTGATTTGTGGAGAACTGCCGCCTCAATGTTCTATCCTACCATCATGCCAATAAGCAAACATTATTTTGTCTGTGATAGCCAATAAGCATAACTAAAGAGACGATACTTTCGATATTTAATTCAACTATACCAGTTTATGTTCATTCCAGACATGAATTCAGTATAGAATTTCACTCAATAAAACTGCACTAATACAATGTGATGGAATTTAATCTGCAAAAATTTGTTCCAAATAAGGAGAAGGACAGATCTCTGATAAGTAGATGAGATGACACTGAAACATGAATGGACTCTCTAGAAAGTGAACGAAAAGGGGTGGGGTGAGAGGGGACAAAATGTTTATTGAAATTCTTAATAAAAGGAAAAAAAGAATAGCTGTAAGAGAAAATGGGTAAATTATAAATTAGTCCCTCTAATTTTTCAAAAGGAAATAATTAGTCCCTTTAGTTGCAATAACTAATTAATTAATCCCCATGTTTTTAATTCTATTTATGACTTAATCCTTTTAATTCTTTTTTCAATTTTTTTTTTTAAGAAATACAAAAAGGGGGAAAATAAGTAAAAAAATATGATAGATTGATAAGGAAAAAAGACAAAGTTTGAAACAAGAGGGTTTAATTCATCAGTTTTTGAAACAAGAGGGACTATTAAATTTGTTTTTCAAAACTAGAGGAGCTAATTTACAGTTTACTCGGGAGAATATCGTCATCAAAGTTTGCAGAGAGACCAGCACTCCTTGGGTAGAATAAAGTGAGATCCCTTACTGCCCACACCAAAAACATAGATACCAATAAATGGTCTAATAAAAAAAGAAAAAGAAAAAGAAAAGAAAAAATCAGCTGGCAGTTCTAGCAATCTTTGAAGAGGTACATCCTCATCTTATTGAGAATTGTCAAGTTCTGGGTTTGCAGTAACATCATGCTACAGGAATGACAAGCTTCAGTTAAGAAAAGTATAAGCAGGGACAAAAGCAGGCTATTTCAAGATCACAAGGGGCAGTCACCATGATCTATGAACATTTCATGGTTTGTGCGCCTGTATAAAGTTGTACAAAGTCAGGCACGAATAACAAAATATCTAGTTTAAAAGCAGGAAAAAAAAGAAGCCAGGTTTGAAAAGGCAATTACAAAAATCAATTGGCATTTCGTGCTTGTGAGCCTGTACAAAATGCTGCAAAGTTAGGCAGGTCTAAGTCTAACAGAAAATCTACTGTTATTTATATTATTAAACAATGCTACCATTCCGTCAGAATTGGGCCTTGCATACCTTACTATTCCCTTCCTTATCAACAATGACCTTGAATGGATGCCAGCTCGGATCTCGAAGCCGATCTTCCCAAAGTGAACATAACTCAAGTGTTTTTTCATCAGCTTCTTCATCTAAAAATTTTCTCTTGCTTGCCACAAGAAATGGTTTGCTGTCAAGATCTCCCATTCTCTTGACACCAATAGAAGTACAGGTTTCAAATTGCCCGAAGTACTGTGGAAGAAGGAAATTAGGCTTTCATCAAATCAAATACCACAAACATTACATCATAAGTAAGATGAACAGCAATGTACAATAACAAAAATTTACCCTCTAAATTAGCTTACACTAAATACAATTAGTAAATATCTAAGCCATGTTTTGTTTCAGGCCCTCTAAAGGGCAGAATGGTTTATGGCACTTACACTAATTAACTCCTTGCGAGCGTCCTGCAATTCATCATTACTTTTGCGCTCCTTGATGATAAGGGCCTGATTAAGTTGCTCCAATCCCTCTAATTCTTCTTCCTTCTCCTTCAATTCTTCTCGAACTGTATCCATTTTTTTTTTGACATCAAGGTCTTCATCCTCTCCCATGTGTTGCATTACTTGTAAAGAATTCTTCATGCACTCTATCTCCAACTCCAGAGCTTGTTTAGCATCAAGCTTCTTTTCCAGATCAATAATTTTCTTGTGCAGTTTCTCCTTTTCCCTCTGATTTAGCCATTCGCCAAAAATTTCAATCATTTCTCTAACTGGACACATTTTATTGTTCTATTCAAATATTTTAGTTCAAGGAAATGAATGCATGTACCTTTTGTTCGTCTGCCAACCTCAACACACTTTCATCTGCTCTTTTCTGCTCCAAGGTTGCTCTCTCATTCTGTAAGGATAAGACAAGGTTAACATATTTATTTTGAACAATATCTAGAACTACTGGCCAAAGTATCTAAATCAACTACAAGCACCACCATTACAACAGCTGATGCAGGACAGTAATCCATCAACCTATTACAACAAAAAATGTAAAGAGATTGACTTCATTAAGTAATGCAGGAAGTTAAATATGCACCAGTTAACTGCACCCTTCATCGTATCCAAACATTACAGAATGCACCAAGAGTTTCAGAGCATCTGGTTGAATTCAAATTAAATATTCAAGAAGTAATCCAGTCAGAAAAGTAGGGAATTCTGGGGTGAAAAAGAAAATTTTGGTTAGAGTCGGATCTAATTGTTGGCTAGATAAATGCCCTGTAGACCATCCCCATAGGGGTGGTGAGGGGAGGGCCCCATTTTGTAGGAAAAAAACCTACAACCAGAGGGAGACTTGGAGAGATGTTCAAATAGGTAGCTTTGATTCTTGCCTTCCAAAATTGTGATATCTGCTAAAGCATTACAAACTTTCATATCTTGATCAATGTCAAATAACTTAAATATGGATTAACAAGCTGAAAAAGAATTTCAATAAAGAAATCCCAAAAAATTGGGGCTAGATCTATCAATTTCAGTCATTTGCAGAAAGCCCCAGCAATACCCAGAAACTGAAAACTTTAAGAAAGCCAAGGTATGTTACCATTTTCTTCTCATGATGAAGTTTCAATCTCTCATTTTCGTTCTGCACCTCACGTTGCTGCAGTTGCTTCTCGTGCTGCTCCAATTCTTCTCTCCGAGCTAGTAGTTGTCGAGTGACCTTCTCATGCTCTGCAGAAATCTTCTCAAAACGTTCACGTTCATTCTGCTGCATTTTTCTGATTTCTAATCACAAATTTCACAAAGAAACAAAGGATAAACTTTCTCAGAATATGTCACTAGAAATTTGAATAATTTGAAATAAAATCCCATTTACGGTTAAACCGTTTTGGTAAACTTCAATGACTGAGACATACCTTCATTATATGACTTGACCATGACTTCTTTCTGATCCATAACCTTGTTCAAAGATGCACTAGTCTCATGATATTTGCTCTCCATTTCTCTAAGGCAGTCATGCTTCCTCTCTAAGGTGCTTTGCAAGTTGGAAACAAGTTTGGCATCCTTCCTTTGGTCCTCAGCTTGTTTCCCATCTACACTCTTTAAATCCCCAGTCTTTCTGAGATGATCTCCTATGAGACCACCAGCTTTGTAGTCATCCTCTCGGGCAATCCATCCATATAACTTCCTTCCTCGATCCATCACTGCAGTTTTAGTATATTCCTTCTTCCCACAATGATTCGAATCAAAATCCTTCTCAAACATAATGGCATTATTGAAGCCATCCCAGTCTTTCTTAAACTCTACTACGGCAAATCCCGAATGACCAAATCGGTTCCATAAAGGATGCACCCTAACTGGGTCAAAACCTTTTCTAGCTAATTCATCCTTGAGTTTTGAGCCACTTTCCCCAACACGACGTCCATCCTTCATCTCAGTTTGTATATTGGCAACAACCCCCATCCAAGGCCAAACAAACAGCGGCTCCATATCACGATTACGTACAGTATGATATTGAGTTATGGGCCTTTTGGCAGTGGGCACGAACAGCTGCTCCTTATCATGATTATGTGCAGCAGAAGATTCAGCTGTAGGCCTTTTCACAGAGGGAACAAATGGCTGCTCCTTATCATGGTCATTTACAGCAGGAGATTGAGATTCAGTGGGCCTTTTGGAAGAGGGTTCCGATCTATCCTCCACATCCAGATGCCTCTGAATATACCTTGCAAGGGCTAGGTGTCGAGCTTCCTCTTTTAGAGTCCCACTTCGTGAGCCTCTTCCAAGATCAGAAGCATGTCGGAGAAGCTCCCTAAGATGGTAATCTCTCCCATGACAGTAGGGGCATCTGTAAACTGAACCTGACACTCTAACTCTAATTCTTTCCTTCTTCAAATCTTTATAATGCCTTTCTTCATACTCACGAAACTCCGACTCTCTTATGTCGCTTTCTTGTGATCTGTGTGACATCATGAACCTGAAATACCACAAAATTAGACATCAGGACACTAGAGTTGCAAGAAACTCATCTAATTTCTTCTACCCCTTAACATTTGCAAACACAACAGTGCATTTCAATTTAAATATCTTCCCCGTAAAAAATTACACATAACATTCATGAGCCAACAACAAGCAATTTCAGATGTACTTAACTTAGTTATCCAATTAGTTAACTAATTACCAAAGAAATATGGAATAGAAAACTAAATGAAAGTATTGATTATGATCAGATTCAATGTCTCGTCTTCGTTCCTCTTTTGGTCTGAGAAAATACATGAATCAAATCGTAGCAACTTTAAATATCAAACGATCTATGAAATAAATAAACTAAAAATTAAGGTTTCAAAACTAACATTTGAATATCACACCAAAAAAATAAAAATCCATTATATAAAAAATCTAAGCTTGGACATCGTACTTCAGTTTGGCTTTACAAGTAACAGCATTTTAAATATAAAATCTAAGAAATAAATAAACTAAAAACTGAAATTTTCTTTTAACTTCGTTTAGTTTCAAAAACAAATATTCAACACTTCTAATAACCTCTTCGTTCTTTTCCTACATTTTCTCATAAAACCAAATATAGAAAAAATCTAAATTCATTTAACAAAAAAGAAACCCTAGCATTCACAATGTCATTCATGTTGTCATTTTCCTTTATTTTCTACACAACCAACAAGAGGCTAAGAAACGAGCAACTTTTTGTAACTATAAAACAGAATATTCGTGAACAAATACTAAAAAATAATGATTTTAAATAAAAAACAAGAAAGTAATTTTACCTCTACTTCCAAACCTAATCGATTTGCTTTGCAAGGAAACCTCGCGACTTTTAATCAGCAGCAAAATGGAATACAGTGACGGAAATGAAACGACAATGTCGTAGAAGAAGCGGAATATGAGAGACTGAAATTTGAGAAAGGGACGTTCTTATTTTGTATTTTTTATTTTTTTCTAGATATAGGTTTTTCTTTTTATGTCCTTTTGATTTCTCTGCGAGTCAAAAACAGATTAAGGAAAGGAACAGAGAAATCTTTCCCTTTCAACAACTGAGTGAGCCTTTTTCTCCCCGATTTTGCTCTGTTTTTCGTCAGTTCGTTTATTTTTTGGAAGGTGCTACGTATCTGTCATCGCGGGTGTAGACAAAAAAACATGAGACTCGCGTCTGATTGGTGGTATTTTTGTATTTTACTGAAACTTTGAGGGTAGCAATTAAGAGGAGGAGGGGAATAGTTGTAGGAGCGAGTGTGGATAGAGGGTTTGTTAAGAGGGGTTTGTTTTAAGGGAAGATCAGGCTGGAATCTTGTGGGCCAATGTACACGTGGAAAGTAATGGATGGATTACGACTGTCCTTTGGCAATTGGCAAAACGAAATAAGAATTGAGTATAGATTATGAAATTAAATTAAAAAAATAAAATGAAAATGAAAAGTTAGTTCATCGTCACTACAAATTGCAGGGGGAGGATATTGGGCTAGTAATTGTTAAAGTGGGTTTTATGGTATGTGTCGATCAAAAGATAGGTAGTGATATATGTCATCCATTTAACTTTTCAAATTTTGTTGTAAAACTCGGCATGATGATGTATGTAAAGCATTATTCAGTCTGTTTATGATATATATATTTTTTATCTATCCATTTCTTTTTATTTTTCTTTTTCAAAACCAGGATGATGTTATGAAAAGATGAAGTGTTGATATCATTTTTGGCATATTCTTGATAATTGGAAATAATATTTGGATATATCTTTTATCATGGACTATAAACGAGTAACTTTCTAAGCGCAAGTTTTTTGTCTGGCTTGCTGTTTGGGGCCGCTTACTTACTAATGGTGTTAGATTTGAGAGGGGGATCAGTCCTTCATCTTTGTGTTCTCGTTGTCATGCTTCTCGGGGAAACGTAGCTCTTGACGTGCTCAGGGATGTAGGGTTAGCAGTGCACGTCTGACAGCAGCTCATCCGTGCGGAAAAATGCATGGGGTGACCTCGTTGCTAGTCATCTTTGTAATTGGGTTCAGATTAATTTTTGCGGTGATTCTCTCCGCTTGTGGCTTTTTTAAGTCACTTGTTGGACGATATGGAACAGTGAGGTCATTGAAAAGATACAGGTGCCATTGCTTTCTCAACTTCAACATTAAATACAGGCTTGAGGATTATAAATTGGCTTTTGCTACAGATCATCTTCTGAGTATGGAGTTGTCCACCCGCCATGCTTCTTACTTGATTTTGTTGGATGAAACTTAACACTTTTTTTTAGATAATCCTGACTATGGGGTTTTATTTATTAGTAGTGTTACATGATACTATTGGTATAAAAAAATCTTTATAATTTTATAAGGATAATATTTTCTTAGAAAAATATAAAAAAAATACTTTATTTCAATAATAATTATTATATCATTTAACATTTTTACTTTTTAAATTTACTTCTAAATTTTTTTATTTTTTAAAATAATATCTTTCATTGTAATATCATCAAGTATTTTCTTTTATTTAAAGACCATTCGAGTAACTGGATTAGCGGTTTCTCTCGAACATACTAATTAATATGCTTGAAAAAAGCAACTTGACACGTGTTTCTTATTAAGTCAAGATAAACGGATCCATATATTACAGATATAACCACACAAGATTTTGCATGCGAAGAACTCCTACGAATAGGGATAAGCCCGCACATACCCCCATGTCTACCTCCAATCCTGTGTCACTCTCCTATTGGAAACAAGCAAAAATGACAAATATTAAATAACAGATATTATCACACATGCCAAACTCATAAAATGACCTTATTTATGTAAATAAGAGACATTCTTTTAAAAGATGGCAAAACATTTGTTAGAAACCGTTCTACAACAAGAGTGAGATCCATTTATCTTAAATGAAAGATGAATACATTCTCCATTTCATTTAAATTAATCATATCATCCTCTAAGAAAAATAAACTCTAGACACACAAAATGATTAATCAATCAAGAGTTAGAATAAATAAATGATTAAGCATAACAATAAGAGATTTTGATTATTTTAATCCATAAGGTAAAAATAAACATAGTGTATATGCTCTATACAGAGCAGATAGCTTATTATAAGTCTACTTAGGCAACATACTTCAAAAATATATTATTAAACCTAATAACGTTAAAATCATCTCTTTTCATATCTTAAATTAATCATTGAAACGTCCTTTAAAATTTAAAAGAATTTTGTTTTATAGATATTCATTTTAGGACTTCTAGATCGAAACAAATCTCCATCACACGATTTGTTAAAAAAAATCATTCAACCGTTCATACAAATTGAGATCCATCACCTCATCAATAATAATCTGTTTAAAGAATTTGGGGCATTCTTCGTAGACTCAAGCTATCATTTGCTTGACTTTTCATTCTTAACAAATTTGACTTTTAAAAATTGAAAAAAAAAAACGCCGCCTAATTCTCTCTCTCCACCTCGACATAAAACCATCTTCATAGCTCCCACCATCTCTTACGTCTCCGACCACAATCAGCATTGTCTTTCCCCTCCAATCCTCCACTATCATCATGAGAAATTAAAAGAGCAACATCATCGCCTTCCGTTTCTTTTTTACACAAGCGCCGCCCTTATCATAACCAATGCTTCAGCACGTGCTATCTTATTTTCAAACAAAGAGATAGAGAATCAATTTTTTAATTCCTAAAATCACAACATCAGCTTCCAAAATCTCAATTATCTCTTTAAAAAGTGAATTAATGGTTTTAGTTTTTGCATGATCTTCCAATCAGGGTTATTGGCTTTTCTTCGAATGAGGGGCTTTCATGATTTAGAGAGACTGGAAAGGTGCTAAATTTGGTACATGGAGAACTGAAAATTAGAAGTTTATAGTTTGAGGAGTTTGAAAATAAGTATTATTAAAAAAAATAAAAATAAGGATTGAAGTTTAATTGTGCCTCGCTGTTGATATATCTATCAGAGAGAATCGTGAGAGGAGGTATTTTTTTTTTTCCAATTTTTTTCGTTGTTAATTTTGTTTTATTTTTTATTTTTATTTAATATTGGAGGGTGGTATATAAAAATCATTTGCTTATCACGTGATATAATTTAACTGCATTGGATGAAAATCTAACCTAATTCAATACAAGGATTAGTTTTTACCAAATTTTTATAAGAATTGTTTGTACTATATCATCTGTCAGGATATTATTTGTGCTTTGATGGATAGTTCAAGCAGAGCTGATGATTTTTCGAAAAAAAAAATGAGTAATTGATCCTCTTCTCTTATATGTAAATCTGTCACTGGATACAATGTTTGTTTCTAAGAGCACGGCCAGTCTATCTGACACTTATTTTATGAAAAAAAGAAATATTGGGATCTTATAAGGTCCAAATAAATCTAATCTTGAAAAAAAAAAAGAAAGAAAGGAATGTTTCATTCCTGTTGTCTAAAAAACGAATTGCATTGATAGTGAGCAGGTTAACAACACCTACAAATTTATAGCTAACATTTCAGGGGATTATTTTTATAAATGCACTAAAACGATATGGGTGTGTATTTTTAAAATTATTTGAAAATTAATCTCAATTGACATTTGAATTAATATTAAAATACCCTTTAATATTAAAAAAGAAAAAAGAAAAAGAATTTGTGAGTTTTTTTAAACAAAATGCAGTTCCAAGACTAGTCTGTCAAGTCCTTGCCAGGTGGAAGATAAAACCGAAAAAGTTTTTCTCGGAGGAAATTGAACAAGTTTCTGCGCGTGAGAAAAGGCGAGCGAATCTAACATCCAAAAAGCACGTGATTTGAATGGAAATAAAACGTTCGCCCACCGTGGGGCTCGAACCCACGACCACAAGGTTAAGAGCCTTGCGCTCTACCAACTGAGCTAGACGGGCTTAGTTGTTAGGAGGTTCAATTATTATGTATATATTATAAATTCCCTGCCAACTCCTTTTTATGTTACGATACGGTACAAGTTTTCAATCGTGCTTGTTGGAATGTCTCCCAGTTGAATTTGGTCATGGAAATTTACGTAGTTTGCAAAATGAAATAGTTTTTTTTTATTAAAGAAGAAGAGCTTACTTTTTTTTCCTTTTTGATATTGGAAGAATAGCTCACTTACTTACGCAAGAAGGAAAACTTCAGAAATGAAAAGGAACATTCGAGAGAAATTAAAGTGCGATTGGGGAAACATTTGGGCCATTGTTGATCGCACCATCTTCTTAACATGACGATTATTAAACATGAATCTCCCATTATCTAAGGGATATATCCAAATAAAAATTACTATTTCGATGATAAATAATTATACTTTCACACATAAAGAGTTCGATAATAAGAAATGGTTTTAAGAATTTTATTTTTCTTTTCGCAAATATATAACTACTTAACACCTAATCTGAAAAATATTTTAGTTCCAATGCATAAATTCCATTGTATATTAAAATATATCACTATAAATTGGTAAATTAACTACTTAACACCTACAAGAAAGTTTTTTTAAAAAAAACTGATCGGTTTCTTTATAAAATCCAGTAAGCTGAGTCTGTAAGTAATTATAAATTTTCTCTTTTGCAATATTATAATTATTCGATCCAATAAACTATATATGTATTATATTTTATATTTTATACTATATAAAGAGATTTTTTCTTTCATTAAATATCAAAACTTACATAATTTAACAGTCTTTTTTCCCATATCTCTGCACAAGATATTAAAATATTAATTTAAGTATTACTGTATTAGAGTGGTTTTACCGGTAAAATCATGCACAGTGCCACTAATCCCGATATTTGAGCGTAGACATTCTTGAATATCAAATATAATAAATTTAAATGCTTAAAATCTTGTGCATCCTCAAGACAAAAAATCACTAACGGGTACTAATAAGTAGCAAAAGCAAAGCTAATAAAACCCCAAAAGTAGAACGTGAAGATCCTCTCTTTGCCCCTCTTTTAAATACTGAGCTCACCTACGGTGGTCGCTACTCTCTGTAATTTCTATCTAGAGCTACAAACTTTTTAAACATGGCGAGCTTTGCACAGGTAGCAGGAGTAGATGCATTGCGCCTAGCAAACATGATCATATCATCAGCAAGAAACGCCACCACACACAAGAAAAACTGTGAGCAACTAGCAGAGCACGTGGAGATTATAAGTAACCTGCTAGAGAAGCTAAAATCAACGGACCTGGTGAACTTGCCTGCTACAAAAGAGCCATTGGATTATCTAGAGGAAGCTTTGAGAAAGGCACTTGATTTGGTGGAGAGCTGCAAAGAAAAAAGTTGTCTATTCATGCTTGCTATGGGGTGGAGTTTCGTTTATCAGTTCAGACAAGTTCAGGCTGAGATTGATAGGTACCTTAGACTCGTGCCCTTGATTTCCCTGGTCCATGAGTTCAGGATGCAGGTAACGTACAGTACAGATGATTGTTTTCTTCTTCTTTTTATGTGCTTATGGCACCTGTTTTGATGAAAACATTCAATCAAGTTATTGCTTTATGCAAATATGTATCTTTTCTTGTATTTTTTATCCTTGATGTTCGTATCTTTCTTGAATTCAAAAGACGATGTAAAAATTCATATCTTTATCTAGTTCATGTGTTGTAAAAACCTCAATCTTATTTGTTTGGATCCTGTTAAACCCTTGAAAATTTTACCCAAAAATTAATTCTTTTCTTTTCTTTTCTTTTCTTTGGGCACTAGACACTAGGAGATGATTGAAAGCAGCGTGTTTGACTTTTTTTTTTTCCTAGGGTTTCTGAAAAGGCATGTTAAAGAAGCATGAACCGTTTTTTATTGAAAATAGATCCTAAAGCATGCTTAATTTTGTTGAATTTAAGGGGGCAAAAATAAAAAACCCTGCGGTTTCCCTGTCCGGCTCCTATAATCTGTGCCGTTAATATCAGGTTGGCCCTACGATGTTGGTGGACCTGCAGAGATGAACGACTCTGATTCCATGAATATTCCAGGATCCACTGGATAGATTTGCTACAGAGGTTAAAATAATTTCGATGAAGTCTCGTAATAGTGCTCCAGGAATTTCTCTTTCATGACAAAAGTCTAGATTAAGTAGTAATTTGACAAATAATCAATTGAATTTATAGCAGTTTACTACTTTCTTCAACTCACCCAAGAAAGAGTAGCCGTCGTTGCAAAATATATTGTAGACAAAAATATAACCCATCGTTTAATCAACTTGGACTGCCTTTTTGAGTTTGGTGGATTTTTTCTTCTCGGGGACCTACTTTATAGTAGTTCTAGCCAGTTGATCGGTCATGAAATTATGAACATGTGCAGAACATAAAGGAAGGCTTGCAGGCAATTGAAGAGGATCAAAGAGACTATACTCTTGATGAAGATGACGTAGAGGCTCAAAATGTGATTTTAAAACCTGACCGTTCAAAGAAAGATGCAAACATATTGGAGAAGTCTTTATCTCGCAGATATCCTGACTTGGGCTTCCAGGAGGCTCTCCAAGAAGAGAAAGAGAAATTACACATTGAGCTGCAGAGATCAAGAACAAACAATGACCCAAATCAATGCCGGGTAATAGAACATCTGATTGAGGTAACAGAAAATGTTGTCAACGATATTCCTGCAAAGAAGGTTACTAAACTTCTTGTTAATGAGCCAACTTATGTTGTGTCAGGGTAAGTGTTCTGGCAGACAGTTCTAGTGAAGCTGTGGTAAATTTCTTACGTAGTTCTGCGAAGTACCTCGTGGTATTAATTGGGGATTTGTGATTTTAGGTGCATAACCAATGCAAAATCCAGCACTGGCAGCCTAAAGCCTGAAGATGAGGGTCAATCTGACTGGCAGGTTGATCTTTTTGATTGTTGCAACGAACCATGCTTGAGTAAGCACCCACAATCCCCTTTTCCTAATCAAAGCCAACTATACGAAAGCAGGGGTGACTCGGTCTATATTGCTTATTGCTTTAGAAATGACAGTGGGTGCTTATTTTTGTTTCTTCAACTCTTGCCTTTACTGCTATTTTAGCTCCATTGATTAGTTAAATTTCCATATATATATATATATAACTATTTATTTAGTTGTGTTTGACTGCAGGCTTGAAGACCTGCATTTATCCCTGTGGCACATTTTCAAGTATAGCGAATGTGGTGTCAAAAGGAAAGACATGTAAGCTTGCTAACAAAACTATAAAGATCTAGGCGAGCTAGTTGAGTACTTGATAACAGGTTTAAGCTTATATTAACTCTCGTGATAGTTCTAATCACTATTGCTTCTTTAATTTCTGCTAAAGCTCGTGAGCGTGCGATTGATGATCTAATGGCGTACACTATCTTTTGTGGATGTTGCTGTTACACCTGTTGCGTCAGGAGGAAAATTCGGCAACTTTTTAACATAGAGGTTGGTTTTTTCTTCATCTTGTCCAGGGCTTTGAAGCCCTTTCTTGTGAAGGTTGTGCATCCTTTTGGTTTGAGCTAGAAGGTAGAAGCAGCTGACAAATATATGCTATGGGCAGGGAGGCTCATGCGATGACTTCTTAACTCACCTCATGTGTTGCTGTTGCGCAATGGTTCAAGAATGGCGAGAGCTTGAAGTCAGAGGCTTTGAAGGTAAGCGCAGCATGATTGTCCTGTGAAAATGGCCTCGGGCCATTAGTAATAAGTTGTCCTCTAAAAATGGCCTTGGGCCATTGGTTACCAGAACTGTCAGATTTTACAAGCCCAAAAATAACTCCAATATGTTTTCTTAGCAGTGAAGGGCTTGAAATAAGCAGACGTGAAATACTCTGTTCTAGACTTGATACAAACATTCTTCTAAAAAGTTGTTACAAACAACATAAGATATGTCGACGTGAAACTCTCTGTTTCTGGAAGTTTGGAACTCTCATGATGAATCCAATTCCTTGCAGGTTGCCCGGGAAGAAAGATGATTCCTCCACCTTACCAGTATATGATGCCGTAATTCCTGAACAGTATGCCGCTCTCTACAAATTCTAGTTTCTAGATACATGTATATAAACATTTTAGTATTTTGAGAAAAATGAGATGAGCACAAAGCAAAGCCTACGCTCTGCGTGAGCATCTATGTAGAAGACCAGTAGAAGTTGCTATATGGCAGAAACGGGATGGGATGGTATTTAAACTAAAGGCTAATGGCATCGGGTGACATTACAATATTATTAGCCAGTCAAGTATACAAAAATTTAGAACAGTAAAAAGCATTGGATCTGTCAGAAAAACTATACTTGGATCAGAATTCAGAATTGAGCCCGTAAGGTCAATGCCGTGAGACAATTAGATCAATCCAGATGGAGGAACTCTGTTAAAAGGAAGAGCTGGCCTTGGCTGAAAATCAACATACAGAGAGGAGCAGCAAAAAGGAAATGGTAGGTAAGAAATCTTCCTTCTTTCATTCTTCAATAGCAAACTATAAATCATCTTTGGTGGGCCGTGTATCATCATTCTGCAGAGAGAAGAGCCAACGAAACAGTTGTGATAACTTACTGGTTACAGGCTTCTGCTCTGGTTCTTCCACCTTTGCAGTACACACACTATTGTAGTCATACTTCAGATGAGGAGCAACTATTTTTTCCTGAAAAAAAGAAAAAGAATATGCATTCAGAATAGGAGAATCAGTCATATAAATTGACCCAAAGAGTTGGATAGTACTAGTACCTTAAACTCTTCAAATGGACAAAAATCAGAACCATTACAACCCTATTCACAAGAACAAAAAGTTAATATTTGAAAATTTTATAAAGGTACATAACAAGAAAGCACACAAAATCATATGCATAATAAGCAAGTGAACTAGAAGAATATACCGTCATTGGAATGGGAAGCTCATTGTGGAGCACTTGGACAAAGTACTTGCTTGCAGAGTTTACCGGACAGCTGTGCAAGACCAGCATGTTGTTACCAGCAAAAGGTGCCACAGTGCTACCCCGCCAATTTCTACTCTGAGGAGGTTTTGGAGGGAGTTCCAAAGGTTCTTCCCTTTGTATTTTTTGGAATTCTGAAAGTATGTGAAAATAACTAGCCGTTCAGCATACACACAAAGACAAATATATAACTATATGGAGGTAATTGCATCTGTAGAAAAACATATAAATATAGTCATAAAACTGTTGCATTGTCTGAGAATGAAATCAACTTACCAGATCCTTCAAGAAAAAGTCCAAGCAGGCATGTAAATGGGACCACAGTCTCTGCATGAGCAAACCGTAGCCTGGCCTTCTCGTAACTTCCAGGAGCATGCTTTTCTAATAGAATGAAAAGCAAAACAATAATTAATAATGAGAAGAAGTGCATATGACTTACTAGAGCAGGAAAAGGTCCAGTATTATCATTTTTCGTTTCTCTTAGCATCAAAGGTGCAAAATTTCCACCTATAAGCTTTAATGATTTTGCATAATAATCTTTTTTTTTTTCAGGTGATTTACGAGACACTGGGGTATCTGCAAGACCTTGGGCCACCACAGGGAATCCTCCACCACTCCGCATTAGTGTGCCAGATCGTAATTTGCACCAGTAACCCAATGTTGATGGTTGCTGGCACTCAATGCTGGGCCTTAGCCAGCCAGTTTTAGATTGTGCCAAATACTAACATAGTTAGAGGCAAATCTAGAAATAGAAAAAAAAAAAAAAATTCACTGAGTTCCTCCTTGTCCACAACTTACTAATGCATATGACAGTTAAGATATTCTTTGTTAAACAAAGAGACACAACTGTGTAGCCTAAAGAAAGGGATGCAGTTCATCGAATGCATAAATAAGAATACACACTAGCATTTGACAGCTTGTTCTTACCTTCTTTTGCTGTAATGGCTTGCTCCATGGACTGAACAACATCTTCAAGCAATGGCACTCCCATTCGATAATTTATTGAATTACCATAACCCTTCAATATAAACAGCTCCAAATCATCTGCCCACCCCAACAATGCAGCCTGAGCATGTGTATAGGTTAGCCAATCGATATCGATAAAGTACAAAACAGAGAATACTGCTTTAAACCATGCATTTAACTGTCTTGTTAATTCAACATAAGCATTCTATTTTCTCGTTTCTTTTAGCCCATGAACCCACCCATCCACCCCCCAGAAATTAAAAAAAAAATGTAAGTATTCAAGTGATAATCCAACAACCCTTCAAATTGAAAGACAAAAGGTACTAACCGCCTCTTCCAGGTAAGGATAAAGAAGTTATCATACTAGACAGACTTTGCTATGTTATTGACATACACAAAAGTGATCAGACAGTTATAAAGGGCAACTAGAAAATGGTGAACAGTATACTGACTTATCATCAGCGATATCCTATGGAGAAACAAGAGTAAAACCTAAAATCACACAGCATCAATATCCAAATTACCTCAGAGGGGCTGAAAAGACCACAAGCTTGATCAGTTATATCCAAGACAGATGCTTCCTGCCGATTGAAAATCCAATGGAACATTGCACAGGAAGTAAGAACAAAAATCAATAAAATCAGGACTCATGAATGAAATTTGTTTCATAACGAACAGTCAAGAGACAAGAGTCATCACCTGCTTACATAGAAACCACAACATAGCAATATCCTGTGTGGTGAAATTGAGTCCATAGCGGCTCACTACTGCAGATGTGATTTCATCCAGTACAAGTTCCTTAAGCTTATCAACAGCAGGCTCCTGCCTCTTCCTAAAAATCTGAAAGCATACATGTTATTTTGAGAAGAAAATAACTGCATCATAGTTACTCTGGGCAGAGATTGTGGGCTAACATGCATATCCACAACAATAATGTATCTCACTGAATTCAATAAATTACAAGTACTATCCAGTTATCACCTAGATACCTATTATTCAAATCTACAAATCCCATGTGATAACTGCTTAGAAAGAAAATAATTATTTTACAGTAATGAAGCTATCATGGTACTGGGTTGAGAAAATAGGAAGACAGAGTAACTAACCATACAGAATGTATATTGACTTGCAATGTACAAGCTGTGCAGTTTGTAACCAAACATAAAACATCAAAAAAAAAAAAAAAAAAAGGTAAAACTGGACTGTACCTTATAGTTTCCACAACAATCATGAAACCTCAGTATTATGTCACTCGCACGGCTTTCACTTATAACAGAAAATGCTTGATGTTGTGCAGGTCCAAGACTTCCCTTCCCGCTTAACAGCCCCATGCCAAATGCCACAGCACTAGCTGATGCGCGAGGAATCTATAAAATTGAAGGGGAAAAAAACAAAAAGTTAATGAAATCCATCCAAAGAAAATGGTAAAAGACTATGAGAACACCACAGATACAAAGTGGGGATTGTTTGGGTTGAGCAATCACTAAAGAGAGTAATCTCTTAGAATTAAAATCCAAGAAAAAATATTTAAGAGACATTTTCATTGTTGAGCATTTTAGAGCAGTGCTTACCTGTGTAGCCTTTATAGGATAAACATCCGGGTGGTATTCCTCTTCAAATAATTCTGGAAATCTATCTCTAATCCTGATTCCAAGATTGTACAATTCTTCTTCTCCCTTTCTAATCAATTCTCCACCTTTCAATTTCCCACTCCAAGGAGATTTCCATCCCCGCAACCACAACGGAACTTTCTCCAAAGACAAATTTTGTTCTTCAGCGTCTCTTATAAGTTCTTCCAAGTGAGAAGCCAACTTATCTAACTCTCTCATCCGCTTTTTGGTAGGAGAACGAGTTCCATGTCTTGCCTAGGAAGTAACAAATGGATTACAATTCATTTTAGTTTTATATGGCTTTAAAAACAATCAAGAGCACCTAATCTCTTCAAGCAGCAGAAGAAAGAAAAAGAACAACCCCGACATCGTCCCTCAAAAAATAAGGAAAAGTCAAATTGGTTTAAGGAAAAAATCTGCAAGTGACGCCTGGCCTAGGAATAGATTCATAGCTCATTCCATCTGTTTCATACACTAAGGCATGCTAACATACAAATTATCCTAAATGATAACTTGCATGCTCAAGATCTGGAAATTTCTATAACTCAGAAACTAAAAGTAGTTCTTTTTCCTGACTTTTGTCAAAAGGACATTTGATGTAGAAAAAAGTCCCTGATTTCAAGTGCAAAATAACATCATGTTGACACCAGAAAAGTTTTCATTCATAAAGAAAACGATGCTTCAAGTAATTCTGAGAGCCTCGCCACTCACTCATGTTTTTAACAAAAAAAAAAAAAAAAAATCCGAGCCTGAGTCTGGCAGAATTAACTTCAGAGACGGATGAGAAATTCAAATTCCTCCATGACAACAAGTGCAAAACCATGCCCAAAAACTAGAAACTGAATCATACCCAAAAAAAAAAACAACAAAATTAAACCCAAACACCTTTCATAATCAGCTAATTCCTCTAGCAGCTACTAGCCAAAATCTCAAATCTTAATCTAATTTTATAAACAAATAATACTACAGTATCAGGTAATTTAAGCACAAAATACTATTATTCTACGCACAAATGACTCAAGTTGCTGTATTTATTTTTAAACTTCGCACATCCAGAACCATGACCCAGACTTCTTAATAATCAAACATTCAAAAGTGAAAAACGAGAAAATATCAATCTAAGATTTTGCATCAGTAAAAAAAGGAAGAAAATTACCACAAGGTTTACGTGGATAGGAGTGCATCCATCAGGAATATTACTAGCACCCAGAACTGAAAGGTTAACAATATCTTTCGCTACATCATATCTGCACACATTTTATGAACCAATTAAACAATTACACGTAACTAGCTACCAATTTAACTGTTTTCAAGCATTAATCTCGTTACTCCATAGACAAAATTAATTCGATTACTTAAATTATAGAAGAGAAAGAGAGAAACCTTGTTACGGTGGAGAAGTGGCGACGGACATCAAAACCTTCCTCAGCATTTAATTGCGAAAATAGCGATAGCGATAGAACGGTCAAAATAGCGAACATTGCTTGCTTCTATGGTTTTTCTCGTCTTTCTCTTTCTAGAAGAGTAAAGAGACAGTGTATAAATGGAAATTCGTTTATAGGGAAAGGTGACGCATAGGGAAAGGCGACGCAGATGCCTCCGCGGCTTTCACTTTTCAAGAAGAAGAAGAAAACGGTGTGGATGTGGTGTCTCGCGTGTAGTGGGACTTCTCGTAGATTTTCGCCACGTTTCAGATAATTTGCTTTTTCTTTTGATTTTTCGCCGTGATGCAACTCTCCCAATAAAAGAATAACACGTGGTTCTTTAAGCCGGGGTTGTATTGCGCAAATTGAGTAAATTATTAATTAGTCTCTCAACAAATTAATTAGTCTCTTGTTCCAAAAATTAATTATTTAATTTTTATTTTCAAAATTTTAAATTTTCTCATAACTTAATCTTTTAATTTTATTTTAATTAATTTTTAAAAATAGAAAAAAAAGAATTTTTTTAAAATAAACTAATATTAAATTAAGAGTTGTCTATATTGACTAAATGAATAAATAATTAGTTGTTTTGAAAAAAATTAAGTATTTTGTATTTCAAAACTAAATGAAAAAATTTATAACTTACTCTTCAAATTTTGCAATAGAGTTGTCGACATTGACCCCGCGAGGAGGGCCGAATTAGGAGTTGCCACCTAGTTAATTGAGAATAATTGAGGAGAACTCGAAAACCCTAAACACGAGTGATCTATATAGATATCTAAACAAGGGGTCGGTTACGTATGAGGAATATATGATATCATCATCATCTCGTCCTACCTAAGATAGGTTGCATTATTTGTCTCCGAATATAAAAATCTAATTTTTTTTTATCGTGTTATGCTTCTATGCCTATTTAAATGAGTTTATTTTGTAAAAATATAAAGCATGATGGTTTTGATGTAAAACGGGATAGTTTGGGAGCTCAAGCCGGTTTAGAGCCAATACTCCCTATTCAAAGGGGGAAAGATGGAGGAAGTTGGAATTTCGGTTAGTCATTAATGAACACGACCTATTATCGACAAATAGGTCAATTTCTAAAGATGGATAGTCTTTTATTAGTATGAGCGAGTGAGTCACCAACAACTTCACTCACACAAGTTGGGAAACTACCGGCAGACTTCGTTTTAATAACAAGAAACAAAAAACAAAAAACAAGAATAGAAAATAAGAAACGAGGAAACAAGAAACATAAAATAGGAACCAGGTACAAAAAACGAGATAAAATGATTTTGAAACCCATCTATGGCTTCTTCACATAAGTGAAAAACTACCGACAACTTTGTTTTGATGAAACAAGAAATAGAAAGCTGAAAACATGAATAAAAAACAAGAAATAGGAAAACAAAAAACAAAAAATAGAAAATAGGTACAAAAAATAGATAAAGTCATTTTGAAATCCACCGACGACTTCGTCACACAAGTGGGAAGCTACCAACGAGCTTCGTTTTGATGAAATAAAAAAAAAAGGAACAAAAAATAAGAAACAGGAAACAAGAATCAAGAGTCAGGAACAACAAATGATAAAATGATTCTGAAACCACAAGCGGTTTCATCATATATTATGATCGGTCATAGAAAGTTAATCAAATCACAAAAACCGACACCAATTTCACATTTAAATAGACATGCATAAAAACAAAAAAATCGAGTATTTTGTCCTTTAACGATTATTACAGTAATATTCGTTTTAACCAAATTTAATTCATAAATATTAAGCTAAATGTTACAGTTTTATTCACATGCGAAACAAACCAGTCATTTAGAATCTTTACCCAAAAGCCCTGTAATTTCGATTTATGAAATAAGATTAGTCTTACTCTCTTTTGTCCCAATGAAAAAAGATTATTCAGATAGCCGGGAAATGAGAGTAACTTCTCGTTGGCAAAATGTATTGTGGATCCTACTAGAATGACTAAAAACTCCTTCAAAATTTGTACAAATGGTCGAAGTCGCAACTACTACAGAAGTTGCTGCAAAGTTTCTTGAAACTCAAGGAGACTTTTGTTGTTGTATCTCCTACCAAAAATTAGCATGAATGCAGTCTACAAAGCTCAAAGTTGTTCTTGCCAAACATTAAACTCAACAACCAAAACAAAATTTTCCTTTTGTTTTTTTATGTTATCATTGTCTTTTCTTTTCCTGTCAAAGACCAACCAAAGGTGGTTGAAAAAGAGTCAAAGCAGGCTGGTTGAGAGTTGGCTGCTACTGATGCACACGCGAGGGGGCTACTGCGAAGGGGGTTACAGCTGGGTATGGCTGGAGCGAGCTTGGGTGCAACTGCTATAGGCAACAGGCGTGGGCATGGGCTGTGCTGCATGTGGGGTTGCCTGGATAGGAACTAGTTGCTTGCTGTGCGTGAGGCTACCTGGACCGGAAGCTAGTGAGTGTGAGGAAGAGATTGGGGAAGAGTAGGCGCGAAGAGGTGGGCTGGTTGTGTGCTACTGAGCGTGGGAAGGCTTGTCTATTGGGGGTTGATTTTTTAGCGTGTGAGGGTGCATGATCGAGGTCTGGAGTTAGGAGTTATGGTGCGCAAGGAGGTGGAGGCTGGAGGAGCTGGATGTGTGTGAGGAGCAGCTGGCAGCAGGGGTTGGGCGCCAGCTGAAGCAACTGTTTTCTCGCAAGAAGAAGAGGCTGGCAGATTATTTTTTGTGGGTGATTATGAAGGTTGAGGGCTATGAGGCATGAGGAGGCCTGTGGTGGAAGGCTGTGTTATGGGGCTGTTCGGGTGAGGGGGAGTTTTCGTGTGAGTGTTTGTTCGGCCTGGAGCAGGGAGGTGGCTGGTGATATAGAGGTTGTTATGGAGGTTATGGGCAAGAGAGGGGTGGTGCGTGGAGCTTGAGAAGAGGAGAGATGGTGGTTTTTATGGGTGAGTTTGGAGTTACAGGAATGAGGGAGAGAGAGGCAACTGGAAGGGTTTAAGATGACCATCAATAGTAAAATGTCTCAAAAAATGCATGGGGGTGGGTTTATATAGGTAGGGTTTTTTTGGTAAAATTCTAATTTGGTCGTGGCTCTTTATCATCCATCAATTTGAGTGTAATTTTGGTTTTTGTTTCGATAGGGCCCCTAAATCTCAATTAATTAGGATTTTTCTTTTTGATTTCTTTCAATTATACCCCCTCTTTATTTTAATTAAAGGACATGAGTTTGGATGTTTTTTAATTAGGCCCTCGATTGTCCTTTTTATTACTTCCAAACTTTTGATTGTTCTCAGTTAGCTCCCCCTTTTTTTAGAATTGATCATAAGCTAATTGTTTCAGTTGATTTTTTTTTGTCTTTTTCTTTTTACTTGTTTTTTTTTACCATTTTTTCACTTTTTTTTGGGCTCATTTTTTCATTTTTTTATTGTATTTTGAAATAAAAATAAAGTAAAACTAATAAGGGGTAAAAATTTGAGTGACAACAAGAGTTATCATACCCATGCTTCATCCCTCAAATGTTCGAATTGTTATGACGAGACCCTTTTTTTCAGTATTAATTTGCTATCTGTGTTGTATTTTTTTTTTAGTATTGATTATCTATCTACGTTATAATTTAAGGAATGTGATGCCTCTATCCATGATATGACAGAATTTATCTAATCGGCAATTGACATGTGTCTTTTTATAATTAAATACAATAAAAATGAAATTTGAATATAGAGGAAAAAAATTATATTTCTAAATTTTTGAAAGAATAAAATTGAATGCATTATTGTCTAAGAACAACTAAAATAGTTCGAATAGATCTGCGTTTTATTAACTAAAATAAAACGAAATTATTAAAAATTTGGAGTGTGAAATTTTCAATTCTCTTTATTCGAATGTCTCTTCTTTTTTTTTAGTGTACGGATTTTAAATTTTTTTTATAATCAAGTGTTTATATTATATTTATATTGATATAATAGTTAAATTAATGTGTCAGTGTGCTGACATGTCCGCCATGCAAGTAAGAAAATTTTACTTTATTCATAATTGAATGTTTGTAATTTTTTTTTTTGTCTATTTGAGTGTATGTATTTTTTAAAAATATTATGGCTGATTGCTATTAATTTTAAAATATAACAAATATCTACTTTGTAATTTTATGTAAGCCATATTTTGACCAAATTAAATAAATTTAAAAATTAAAAAAATAAATAATAATGACAATCTATTCAATTTAGAAGAAAATAAGAATAAAATATGACTTATCAAAAAGAAAATATAAATTACTCTTTTTTTTTTTTACTTTCTCACAAACCAAATAAATTTCCATCACTAGTCGTAAAAGATTTTAAAAATAGTAAATTCATCAAAGCTATTTTTTTCAAAAAAAAATATTTTTTATTTCTAAATAAAATCTTTTATCTCTCACATGCATATACACATGTATTTTCATCAATCTCCATCAAAACTCTACAATTTTTGTAGTTATTTTGTTGGTTTTTTTTCTTGCCTGGTTACAAGTTTATTTTTTTACACCTTTTTTTTTATTATGTTCTTTCAATTTGAATAAGTTTTTATTTATTTTGTTATTTTAATTTTTAATTTTAGTTAACTTGGTCAAAATATGACATATGTAAAATTGTAAATTAGATATTTGTTACATTTGCAAATCAATAGTACTCGTTGATTTTTTTTAAATATAAATACTCAAATAGAAAAAAATAAAACTATGTAAACTCAAGTATTAAAAAAAAAGTACACACTTTCAAATAAAAAAATATAAACGCAAAGACTCGATTAAAAATGAAGTGAAATATCCTCATTCAAAAGCGGTCACTTCTGTATAAATCTAAAAGAAACATTTGATTATAAATTTTTTTGAAAATTCACGTGCTAAAATAGAGGGAAAAAAAATGGACACTCAAATAAAAAATTGAAAAGTTTGCATGTCGGGTAAATAATAATCAAAGTAAATTATAAATTAGTCCCTCTAGTTTTAAGAAACCAATTTATTTATTTATTTTGTTTCAAAAATTAGTATCTAATCTTTTGACCAGCGTTAACAATGCTTAATTTATTATATTTATTTCACAAAACATATTTTTTTCTCATTAATCTTTTCATATATTTTTTTCTATTTTCCAAAACAAAAAATCAAAATAAATTGAAAATGAGTAAAAATGACTAAATTATAAGTAGATTTAAAATTACAATGACTAAATGATTGGTTTTTTAAACAAAATGGGGGCTAATTAATTTATTTTTTGAATCAAGAGGGACTAATTTATAATTTACTCATAATAATCTTATATATATATATCAACAACCTATAACAATAGTAAAACCCCTCCTGAATCAAAATGAAAGATTTGTTCTTTGGTTTTGTAAATACACTATTATATATAAAATCTTTCTCCGCTATATCTCTCCAATTGTGCCACCTTTTTTCCTTTCTGACATCACCTCTGCTACCTAATCGTGAAAGCAAAAGGGATCGTGCTCTGTTTCAAGTTGGAGACGAGCGATGTTGCTGGATGGGGTGATACTGTCCACGGAGCATGGGACTAGTTTGGTTTTCCCGATGGCGCTAGATGATCTTTTCTGCGATTGCTTGCTCAACTTCATTTGATTTATATGGTGGTTAGTGTTTTTTTTTTTCCAAAAGAAAAGGCAAACAGAATATTCTGTATTCTTTTACAGTAAAAATTACATTCGTATTACATATTTTTTTATCTAAAAAAATCTTTATCGCAACTTTTTTTTTTAAAAAAAAAATTCGAAAGCAACTACAATCACACAAGAAGACGTAGACATTCTATCAATTATAGGATGTGATAGATGAGATTCAAACTTTAAATCTGAGGTATGAGTATTTTATAAAAAAATTACTTACTATTATATTAAACATTGTTGATTATATTAGGTCCCTGACGGTTTTGAAAGAACGAGATGGAATTAAGATTTTTTATTTTGAGATTTAAGGACTTTTTGCTTGGATCATTTTCAATTTCACTACTGAATCAAATAATAATAGTTGAATTTACATGGAAAAAATAGTACTTGTGTGTATTTGTAACAAAGATAACTTTGTTTTTATATCATTTTTTTTTTTGCAATTTTAAATCAATTAAAGATTTTTCAATTCTTCTTTTTTATATTAATTTAGACGAGAAAATATAAATTGGAGGGTTGCTGCCCCCTTAGCATAAGCGTCGGGCATTTTATATGGCCTTTCGACAAAAATTTGCAACCAAGAACCACATTATGGATATAGCCTGGAGTATAAGGACTTTATCAAATCAAAAGACAGGAGAGGTTTTCGATGAATAGAGGAATGAATGATTTTTCTGTTTAAACCTTAATTATTAAAAGACAAAAAAAAAAATTGCGGTGGAAACATGTTTGAAAGTGGTAGTTTTATTTAACTAATTTAACCTCTATTTATTTACTTCTACCAATTAATTACTTATTTTGCACACTTAATCAACACAGTTGAGAATCGAAAAACGACACATTTTCTGTTGTTTCAAAATGAAAAAAAATAAAAAATAAAATTATCTATTTGGTGAACATATACAAAATTGAGAAAATACTTATCGAATTCCCGAACCCAAAAAACGCCCGACTCAGTTTAAAGAAAAGACAGCAAAAAATGCCAAATTTAATCAAGTCAATTAGTTGTTGGGTCTATTTGATCATTATTATAGCTGTGATTGGTCTAGACTTGTTTCCATGTAAAACATTGCCAATAAATGCTATAATTCAGCCCAAGCCAATGTCTAAGTTTAGTTTAGGAGGAAAGTCCTTGGATTGATTTCCATCCATCCCTGGGCTTCTTGTGTTTTCGCTTCATCATTGGACGGCTGAATATAAATGAGGTAGGCCCAAACGATTTACACGTAATCGTGCGATATCCATCTCCTGATCTAGCAGGAACAGAAATTAGGGTTTCCGTTACGCCTTCGGCCTCCACTTTCCCTACTGGCCTGGCCTATATTTGAGAGGGAGGGTTCCTTTTGTCTGTGGCTATCAACCTTGTCATATTCAATGAATGGAATTTACCAAATGATTAGCAATTAAGCACTTTCAAACGGTGTCACATCCAGAAACAAAAATTCGAATTGGGGACTCAATGGGATATAGTTAACCTTCTCTTTATCCAGTGCAGACGCGGTTGATGATTATACATGATTTAGAATGAACCTTTTTTTTTCTTTTTATCCCTAGAGTATTCCAGATCCAAAAATCCAGAATACTTCAGTCAGAGACACAAGATAAACACGAATTTTTTATGTCCACAAAAAACCCGAACAAAAAACCACTTAAAAGGACCATCCAGATTAAACATTTTTATCCCTTACCGTCCATATTAGGTCGACAATCGCATACCACCCAAATGAGAGCGCGAATGCAGCCAAAAAGACCACCGCCAAAGAAATAGTGGGCAGGATTCAGTCTCTTTCAGCTGCTGAAGACACAAATCCAGAATGCTTGGGAGTCATATTTTGGTCCAGCTAGGATGACTCATCAGACCATGAGTAAAACGGCTGATGGTCCGTTTCCGTTCCCCTTTTTCCCTTTTTTTTTTTTTTTTTTTTTTTTTTTTTTTTTTGCAATTGCAGAACAAGATACACCAAAATTAGATAGAAGGATAACCATATATTTTTAACTACCTTCTACCTTTAAAAACGATGGCTAAACTCAAGTTCAATCCTGGACGACATCAAAGCATCTAGATAGCCAACCACACCAAAAACCTCTAAACAAAAATTAGATAAACACAAAAGGGTACCATGGAACGCCCCTCCTAATGGTACTTTAAGCAACAAGATAAAAGGAAGATCGCTTCACAATTATGCAACTACTTCTTCCCCATGGAGAAGCATCTGGTCGAAGTGCCATACTCCTGACAAATCAAAGAAAAGACAACACAGTTTAGTGAACGAATAAGCAAATGTGCGAAGCAAATTCACAAATAAATATAGTGAAGGACTTTGTTCAGGATTAGGGTTCTTTACCATGTCCTTTGCCTACTCTTCTCAGCTGAGCAACATATTCTGAGATCTTTTTGATAGCTTCCACCTAAAAAGTACACAATATGAAAGACCAAAATCAAAATTCAGCCGATCTGCCATAACTGTGAAAAGTAAATGCTAGTGGAGGAAGGCCAAAATGAAAATGGTACATACCTGCTCGGCTAAAAACTCACTTTCAACAAAATCTGTCATCTGCACATCATGGTTCTTCTCGGCCACCTGTTAAACAAAATTCCATTCAAATTCTAAATACTTAGCTAGCGAACCTAGAAAGCATTGAAAAAAAAAAAAATTGTTTTCCAAAAGGCTATGCTACTTGGAGCATGACCCCACTTCATCAGTCACTGTCAAGTGCGAACTGAAATTTACCATGTAATGAAGTACATTAAATTCTCACTTTAATAGAGATGTCTTACCCTATGCAAGTTCAGGAGCTTTTCATTTGTTAGTTTTTCCAAAGACAAGGCAAGCTCCATCGCTGAACCAAGAAAAATAACCACAATTAGATAAATTGAAGATAAAATTAAATACTTCATGACTTAACAAAACAGACACCAATTCAATGCATCACGGATCTCAACTCATAGATCAATTTGTCAACCCTAATCTAAACCAAAATATTGTCCTTCTCTCATCATTTCTTGTAAACTATGGAAGTATACAAATTCTTTAAAGTTAAACGTAAATCATAAGCCTAAGAACACAGAGATGAATATTTGTATTTGAGAAGCCACTTGTGAAGCCATAAATAAAATGTGATTCTTAACGAAGGTCCATGTAGTTTCAACACTGAATATTTCCATTGACCTCAAAATCGCAAACTATACCCTGTGCCACGAGACAGCGAAGTTTTTGTAAAAAAAAACAAAAAAAAAACCATGCCCTGATTGAGAAATTCAAAGCATAGACCTGGTGTGAATCAATCACATTCCAATACATTAACTACATGAGTTTGCATGATCAGTTCAGGATATAAGGACGTGGTCAATGTACTAATTCCTCCCCTGAATCTAAGCAAAATAAAAAACATAGAATGAGAAAAATATTAAAAAGGGCTGGCAGAGGACATCTTTCACATCACAAAAAACAGCTTCAATAAATAAAAAAATTCTATTCATTTTGCTTAACTCCTTATTGTCAACGTATATAATTGCCCATCAAAACTTACCATACAGCGCATCTCCTTTTTCCGCATGATCAAACTCAGAGAGAGGCATCAAAATGGACTGCAGCTTCACTTTTCCACCCCGTTTGTTCTGAAAGATTAAACAACAATGACCGAGGATTCAACTACATTACCAAACTAATAAAGAACTTCTAAAGCTAAATTCAAAAGAAGAAAAATAAAAATAACTAAATCAAACTATGAAGTTATTCACCTGGTATTCCATCAATTTCTCAGCATGCTCTCTTTCTTCAATACTTGATTCCTTGAAAAACCTATTAGAAAAAAATGTCATAAAACAACATATGGCAAAAGAGAGAGCTTATAAAAACAGAGAATTTCCACGAGAATTTACTTGGCAAGGCCCTTGAGTGCCACATTATCTCTATCAAAGTAGGCAAACATGGCATGGTACACATACGAGACATTGTACTCCACACTGTCATTCAAAAAAAGAGACAATTTACGGTTAGCAAATAGAGTACCAAAGCCATATACTTCACCAAAAAAACTCAAAACGAAACATAGATAAACACAAAAAACCACGAAAACAAAGATCTAAAATATTGAAAAATAATACACGAGAGTACTTCAGTACTGCTGATTTACTCATAAATGATGCTAAAGATAGTACAGACCAATCTGGTCACGAGCATGTTGCCGAACAAAGCATACGGAACAAATCAATGGGAAACACCAACTCCAGATCAGGATTAAACATCATATAGAAAGAAAATGACACGAGAAGTAAATAAAGAATCTTTAATCCAGTCCCGGTATAAAAAAAAAATCATTTTTATATCAATTAAAGCAATTCGATCATTTCTTGACAACAAAAGAAGAGTCACTCAACAAGAAACTAAAGAAAAAAAAATCTCACTTGATCTGTTCATTGATGGCCGCTTCACTCTCATTAGTAAATTTCTGTCTAGCAAGAGAAACTTGTGGCACAGTAGGCACAAGATCCAGTTCTTTCTTAACCTCCTCAAAAGGCTCAAAGATAACACCAGTTAAAGGCTTATTATTAGACCCTTTTGAGGCGCAGACAACAAATCCAGACCCAGTTTTTGACCGAAGAAATGAAGGAGAAACAGCGAAATTGCCGTTAGACAGAGAAGAAACAGAGGAAAACAGGGAACCCAAATTATCCCCCCTCGTACTCAAGAGAGAAAAGGCCGGTGCTGCCTTAAGTAACATGATTTTCTTTATACTAAGAGAAGAGAAAGAGAGAGCAAAGATGAAAGAAAGGGTTTTGAATATTTGTTGAAGATTTGAAAATAGTGATTTTTGACAGAGATTGGTGTGCTGCGGTGCGTTCTGTGTGCGTGGTAACGGGTGAAGATTTAATATAGAATAGGAGTGGTATTGACCATTGGATTGCGGGACAGGTGGACGGTGGAGAGAGGGAGGTGGAGTGGGGCGCGTGTCTGGCTTGTGGTATATCTGGAACGAGTATGGTAGTCACGTGGGAGTTCATTTAAAAGAGGAATCTGCCAAAAAATCAGGGTTTGTTTCTGTTCGCCTTTTTAAGAGTCACAGTTATAATTGCCAAAAGCGGACAGAGTATATGAATTAAGGGAATATACTGATATATTGGTTTCCCATTGGCGTATCTTGTCAAGGACGCTGCTCTGTAGCTAACCTCTCATTGCCTCCCGTGGAGCTTCATTGTTAGGTCTTTTCTTTTGCATGAGAGAGTTAGACATTGGCATTTGGCTGGATACCAATCGAGAGAAGAGATATGTGTGTGCGTGTGTGTGTAGCATTTAGGCAATCGCTGAAATTGGACTTTTCATTTCCAGATGTTTTTTTCTTTTTTCTTAGCATTTATTACAAGCATTCCCAAAAATTTATTACCAACAAAACACTAAGATCAAATGCTAATATATCCTCACTTGATTGGCATTCGGCCAATATCTAATCAATATCCCAAATTTATTTCTTTTTTCTTTTATCCTCAGTTCACTTGCTCTTGTCCACTTTTGTTCTCTATTTAAGGATGAGCTGTTGTCCACGTTTGGCAACCACAACTGTGATTATAAGTTTTAATAAGGTGGTTTTTTTTATTTTATAATAATTGATGAGAAATTATTGAGCGAGCGTGTATTAGGGTTTAATTGCCTGCCAAAATTGGATATTTTATACCAAATATAATGGTATTCAAAATCCAACTTATATGATTAAAAGTAAACCATTTGCATGAAAAAAAGAAGAAGTTTAATTGAGAAATGCATTTTCAAACCTATGAATCTCTAGGAAAAAGTCTACTTTGTTCTACGAAGCACATATCAATGCTTATATCGTTAATGGAGAGGTCTCACTTAAAATATTCAATGGTTTTGCTTCAATAGACAATAATTGGATAACATCTAAATTCATGACACAATATCATTATTAATTATGAAAATTTAAACTTCCTATATATTGATATTATCAAGTCCTTTTTTTATTAGAAAAGGGGTAAAGTCCAAAAAATTACAAAAAAGATTTATGATAATGTTATTTTAAATGTTATAAAACCTTTCTAATAAAAGCACACAATCATCTTCTTATTATTTGATAGAAAGACTTTCAAGAAAACCAATTCTTTAAGGACTCTTATATTCTCAAATGGATAGCAACCGTGTCGAATAGAAAGGGTTATTATAGGGAGGAAAGTTATTGTTATTTTAAAAAAAAAAATACGATACCCACAGATCGGTCTAAACCTTATCTAAACTTAAAATCATTTAAGAGTTAGTCTATATACTCTCGATTTTAGTTTTAAAATCCACATACCTTGGTATAATTGAAATTAAGTTCTACAATTTGCATAAAAGTATAATGAAAAAACTTAAATACCCTTGACTTTAATAATATTCAACCTAATTGATTATTTTAATTTGTTATACTTGTTAAATTTAAATTTTAAAAATAATACAAATCAATTTAAAATTTTATATCATAATTTAATTCTCCATCCATAAATTTTGATTTTAATTTTTTTTGAAAGAGCTTGTTGCATAAATACCCTTTATTCTTTATTAAAAAAAAAACAACAGTAGCCTTAAGATCTCTTCTTTGCTTAAAAAGAAAAATTAAAACCAAAATTTGTGGATGAATAATTAAAACTATGCTATTAAATATTATTTATGAAATTTAAAATTAATTTTATATGATAGATTAAAATTGATCGGTTAGGTTAAAAGCTATTAAAGTTGAAGGTACTTAAGTTATTTGATTAGTTTTATATGCAAATATAGAGATAATTTTGAAAAAAGAAAAAGAAGAAGCAGAAGGACTTAATTTTAAATTTATTGAAGAATAGAAATATTAAAATGAAATTAAAAATACAAATACTAATTTTTAAACATGTCAGAGTTCACGGAGTTTTTATTAGGTTGAATTGAGAAACGAAGGAAATGAAACGAATTTTTTGATAAAGTTTTCTAAACGTCTTCCAAACATGATCCGTTGAAGAAAATTGTTCCAACTTTTACCTGTGGTGACAATGATGAAGAGATAAAGGGGGAAAGAACGTCAATGTCGGGATTGATTAAAGCAAGCCTGCAGTGGACCACTTTAATGGATTCTTTGCGGTGGTCATTGTCATTCACGACAAAAATCATTTTTAATCTATAGAGGTTTGGACCATTGGTGTTTATACTTCATGACCCTTTAGGCCTTAGTCATCGTAAATATACGTGGCATTTACAAGGGAGCCCGCATCAATTTTGTCACGATAGGCAATCCAATCGGTTGAATTAGATGTCTCTGGTGAATTAAAAATTGAAAAAATCAGCAATGGATGGATAAGAATTCCTTTTATTTTTATTTTTATCCTCGATGGATGATAATTTAGATGATTAAGAAGCAACCAGTCGACATCATCTTTTATCTGCAATTTTTTAAATTGAAAGGTCAAATAAATCCTCAAATCATCTTTGAAATTTTAGCCCATACAGTAAATACATTTTCTATCCTCTCATTATCGCTCCAAATTCAAAATGTTAAGAATACTACAAGAAAAAGATTTCTTATAAACACAAACTCTGTTGTTAAAGATTTATTATCACTAAGTAAAAAAACTATAAAAAAGCCCTTGAACTATATCAAAATGGACATGCCATTAGATTTTTCTTAGATTAGTGTAACATGATGTATCATGTTACTTCTCTAACTGAAATAAAATTATCTCGATAGCTTTAAAGAATTGAACTCCCTTCAAGTTAGTGTTTAAAAAAAATAATGTATCATGCTAGTTTAATCCTGGCCCTTTAAAATTAGCTGAACAGTTAAAATTTAAGTAGGTAATTTTCTCTTACTTGAATTAATATACTTCTTTTTATGATTTAAATTTAACCAAATTTATTTTCTTTGCTATTAGCATATCTTATAAAGACAAAATTTGTCTCTCTCGTCTCCATGCATTATTAAAAAAAAAAAAAAAAGCAACCTTTCTCTTAACTATTACGTATATGAGTTGTCTCAATTTTCATTCAATAAAATCATTAAATTAAGATCAAGTCATAAAAAAATCTAATATATATATATATATATATATATTCCATCAAAAAGCCTCGAAAAATTATTTACAAATAATTTCATGACATCTTTTAGCTTTATTGATAAACTGAAGAAAGTAACTAGTTAAATTTTTTTTCATCCATAAAAATGCAAGTTAAGCAATGAGTATTGTTTTTGTTAAAAAGAAAAACACTAAGAGTTGTTGTGACTTAGAAGGGATTATGTAAATTTGGAATCTTTTTTTAACATCCATAATAAGTTACATTTAAAAGAAAAAAAAATCATTTAGTATAGATATTATATGATTAAATTATATAATTTAATTATTTTTAAAGTCAGTAACTACATGAAACTATCACAGTCATCTATTAGCAATAATTTGAGAATTGTCTGATCCCCCATCACAATGTTATAAAGTTTGATTGACAATTGATGAAGCGAGAATTAAAGTGAAGCCACTCGCAGAGTCACGAGGCAGCAACCATGCAGTCTTCAGTCTTTAGTTCAGCCCAAAGTTTTCCAGGACTCATCTGTAGCACTAAGAGGCCCTTTTTTCTGGGCCTTTTGTAATGAGAATAAATGTGCTCCGGACCAGCTTTGTCTACATGTCCTAAGCTAAATTCTTTAAATTATTAGGCTTTTTTGGAATGTCAGCCCACGTCAAAACCTAAGTAACGTCTAGAGCAACCAAAACAGTAATCAAGTGTTCAGGCTGACTCGGGTCCCCTTTTAATTAAGACTGATTTAATTATAAGTTAATTATCTAACATAAAATCGAATGTAGCTAACTCAAGAAGACATTATTCTTTTTTTCAGTAGTCTTTTTTTTAACTACCTCTAATTCAGGCACCAGTGACGAGGAAATTGCAGATTTTTCTATAAATCAGGAACTGTTTTCTTATTAACTTAATTTATAATTAGCAATTCGTGAATTCAGGTTCAACTTAGCAGCTCCTGAAGTTGAATCAATTTGGTTTTCAACAGCCTTCCGGTTCACTGCTTCAAAATGACAGACGTTCTTGCCGATTCGTATGCTGCTTGCTACCACAACTTTTGAAAACGCGGGCATAGTACGTTGTTCGCGATTTATAATTTATAGTAGCTACTTGTTATTGCATCAACTAAACAAGAAAAGTAAAACTTTTAAATCATACATTATTGATTATATTTTATAATTGATTAATATTACCGTGTTTCTATTTTGAAAATTGCACCTAACATCCTCTCAGATTAATAAGATGAAATATTATTTTAAAATCACTCTTGTTTTAACAAGAGTATGATCACCATCAAAAGTTGCAGGTAGAGAGGAAGGTGTTTTTAACTCACCAGACAAAAGGTTCGATTTTTACTTCTAAAAATCTTTTTTTTACTTTATGCGATACTAGATTTGAATTGTTAATAGACTCAAAAAGTTAGATTTTTAAAACCGACATAAAATTAAACGTAATCTAATGCTGAATTCGTTTAAAAAAATTATAAATTTAATTTTAATTGATTTAAAAATATTACACTACCTCTCGCTATATATAAAACAACATCATCATCATGAACGTCAGCTTAATTTTTCATTTAAATGGAGGTAATATGATATTATTATTGTTGTTGTTTCGAAATTTAATTTGACTACTAAGACTGCAACTTGACTAACCTTTCTTTTATGAAAAATTTAGATGTAACTTCAAAACACG